GATATGGCTGAAAGCCCTTCTTATTGGTGCAACATAATTTTCGAACAAGCAAATTATGCCCTAAAATCAATCGTTTGTCAGAAAAACACGTTTCTATAAATAGGAAATTTTACATAATATTCAATATTCAAGAAATTGCCTATAGACTTTACTTTCATATATCGAAAACACTGCAGTTTAGTACTCTTACGAGGGGAAACACTCGGCTCTTGGTGTTGCTAATTCCACTCTGAAAAGGTGGTTATCACCTCTAAGGAGCCAGGTGTCTGAGTGTTTCAGTTATGAAAAACCGTCTATACGCCATTTCTTTAATATTGAATATTATGTTAATTTTTCTATCCTTAAACGTGTCTTTCTTCCAAACTGTTGATTTTAGGACATAATTATGTTGTTCGAAAATTATGTTGTACCCACCTGATGGTGTATCAATAAGAATGGATTTCTCGTAAAAATAGGATAGTAAGAATGGGTGGCACAAAATTGATCGAATAACATATGATTGAATTCGAAATTTGATCGAAAATAAATTTTATCGAATGACATTTGATCGAAAATATATTTTATCGAATAACATTTAATCGAAGATATATTTTATCGAATAACATTTTATCGAAAAGACAATAGATCTAAAATTCATTAGATCGAATTCATTTTTAGCATTTTATAAAGGAAAAGTTCAATTATAATATAAAGGTAAACATGGTAAAACGGGGTTTACCTCTAAATCGCAGATTTCGTCGAGATCATTTTAAAGATAATTCAACCCATTCAAACTTCTTGTACATCCTTGTATGAGCCATGGTTATAGAAAAAGTATAGTGTTTTACTCGTCGAAAAGCATTTTCTGCAACATGAGAACATTATATTAAACTATTCTCTCGTTTGCAGAAAATGCTACTTTCGCCACTGGTTAAACAATATACTACCTACCCATAATATTCAATATTAAATAAATTGCTGTACTATTAACTGTTCCTCAGATATGGCTAAATGCCTTTCTTATTGGGCCACCTGGTGCAACATAATTTTCGAAAAACAAGCTAATTATATCCTAAAATCAATCGTTTGTCAGTAAAACACGTGTATATAAATAGGAAATTTTACATAATATTCAATATTAAAGAAATTGCCTATAGACTTTACTTTCATTTATCAAAAACACTGCAGTTTAGTACTCTTACGAGGGGAAACACTCGGCTCTTGGTGTTGCTAATTCCACTCTGAAAAGGTGGTTATCACCTCTAAGGAGCCAGGTGTCTGAGTGTTTTGGTTATGAAAAACCGTTTATAAGCCATTTCTTTAATATTGAATATTATGTAATTTTTCCTATTTTTACACGTGTCTTTCTATCAAACTGTTAATTTTAGGACATAATTGGGTAGTTCGAAGATTATGTTGTACCTGGTGACCCAATAAGAATAGATTTCGACCATATCTGGGGAACCGTGAATAGTAAAGTTTCTGAAAATATAGTTCAATGACTAAAATAGGACGACCGCTAGATGGGGTAACTGAGTGCCAAATAATCAAATTTGATGTGTCCAACACATGACTTTCCTGTCTAGTTATTACATGCTTTTTCGGTTATTTTGTACAACCTATTGTATCACCCCTGTAAATGTTCATAGGATAAACTAAATACATACATTTTTCCCACATATCTTACTGGATACATTTTTTTAAATACTTAATATATATTCATTGCCAACGAAAATACATATTATCGTCCATTTTAGTGAAAAAGTGTATAAAATAAAAATTATAGAGAATGATATCGCAAACAACTTTTATTTGAACAATTTTCTTAAAAATTCGAATTTTCAGTTTTTTTAAATTTCGTGAATACGGACCATTTTAGAAACATTATCTATAGGATAGAAATTATAGAGAATAACATTATGAGCAACTTTTATTTGAAGAATTTTCTTCTCCAAGCGTAAATAACAGATTTATTCCATAAAGTAGAAAAACGATCCTCTATAAATGTTGCGTTTAAAAATTACCTCGTTTTGTTTTTTTTACTCGATACAATGCACAAAAATTAAGGCAGTTCACCGCAGGATTGATTAAAGCTTTATCTTTAAAATTCTAAATTTGCACTTTTTCTCAAATATCTCGGATACGGTCTATTTTAGAGAAATTATGTATGGAGCAGTAATTATAGAGAATTACATCACAAACAACTATAATTTGAACAATTTTCTTAAAAATTAGAATTTTTTTACTTTTTCATTGAATCCACAAAACGTAAAAATCCATCAAAAACTCGAGGTCGAAAAAAATCACGATTCCTATACTTTCCTTATCTGTATACAGACAGGAAAGTAAAAACAGTAATAATTTATAAGCAAGCAGTCAAATCTAATTGTGCTGGCAAGTCATTTAGTACTTGCACGCCTTGTAAGTGTTTTAAATTACCTGAAATGCGAAATTCAATAATTACCAAGCACTTTTTATTAAGAGCTTCAATTACTAATTACTGAGCACTGTATTTTAAAGTGCTTGCAAATACTGTGCTCAAAGCACTATTAGGCTTGAAGCACTTTCGAGGCTATTACAGCAGGGACAGACGTTGGAAAGGCTTTTGCCAGTTCTCCTACTTCATACACAGGATTTGACTATTTTGACGCGCAGCGAAGTGAAGTGAACGCGAAACATTGGCGAAGAAAATTATTTTATAGAAGCTAATAAAAATTTCACGTAAATAGCTTAATAAGCTGTGAATATTATTGCTTGTTTAAATAATTATTTGTAGGCCATACGTTTGCCCGATTCCGCAGGTGATAATTTAAAAATTTTGGTAATATTTTTATTCTATGAGACGACTATGGCGAACAAACACCGCGAAATTCTCGAAGTCGTCCGACGGGGTTTGACTTTTACCACCTCTCTACCTACCAAAAGCCTTTCCAACTGTCCCTGCTGTACTGCCCAGCTCCCTCCCAGCAACAGTATATCGGACTATTTCTTTTCAACGTTACCTACTCCATCAACATAATTTTTAAGCTTGCACCCATCAGTAAACGGCATAGATAAATTTATTTATGGTAAACGGACTAATAAATTAATAGTCCTCAGATAGTGACAGGTTTTGGTGCCACATTTTCGCATACAAGCCTCGAAGAGGGTTAAAAATTACATCGATTTTAAGTAGAATGAAAGTAAATTTACGAGTCGCTCCTTGGGATAACACATGGAAAATTCGATTTTCCCAAACAAAAATGAAAGGTTACATGTTGCCCATATTTCCACGCAAGCCGTTTTCACTATATGATTAATTAATAGAAATAGGCTTCGGAAAATCAAAGGCTTTAATGTTGCAAGTGGCTAAAGGGTTGAAATAAGGGCGTAATCTTCTAAGGAAAAATCGAGATTTTACCAAATTTTTCCACAAAAGCCCATCGAATGTATGAAAACGTACATCGTCACTAGTCCGAAAAATATATTTTTTTGAATGACCTGAAAGTATAAGTGCATTTTGGGGTCGGAAAATTTTTCTGATAAGGAAAATCGAATTTTCCATGTGTTATCCCCAAGAGCCACTCGTAAATTTTCTTTTATTCTACTGAACATCGATGTACTTTTCAACCCTCATCGAGGCTTGTATGCGAAAATGGGGCACCTAAATCGGTCACTTTCTGACGGTCTATAACTAACGTCTAGGTATTTTGATTTAATCTGCTTTTAAAATTTTGGCCGACTACTGGATTATTCCAAGATGTATTCAACATTCCAATAGACCAGGGGCCTATTTCATTGAACTACTTTACAACTTTTCACTTTGCATATTTTAGTAAATTTATGTTTTATAAAAGAGAAATTGACGAGTTAAAAAGTAAAATATGAAAAGCAAATTGCAAAGTGTAAATGAAAAATTAATAATCTGCAAAGATAACGATATTATATTATGAAACAGGAGTATTTTGAACTCGTAAATTTGCAAAGTGAATTTGTTGCAAAGTAGTTTTATGAAGTAGGCCCCAGCTTGTTCGCTTTCTGCCTTTTTTTAATATTTAAACCTCGTTCTAGATTTATGAATGCAAAAAAACTAAGAAAACTCTGGATATCCAAAAGAAAATGTAGAAAAGGCCGTTATAGTTATGCAACGATTCAAATTTAAAAATTTTGTACCCAAATCCTTATCGTCAAATTTTAAACGACTTTTAAAAATGTCGGTTCGTCCGATGTCACTTTTTTTGTCCGCACGATAAGTCAAAAACGAAAAATGATATACACTTGAAATTTTCAGGAAAAATCAAGCTCTATAAGATAAAGCCTATTAATTCTGAAAAAATCTAAACAAAAATGGATATTAACTCTAAAACGAAAAATTATATCATCAAACTCTATAAAAGGACTTACTAAAAAAGACCCCGGTGTTTTTGAAAGAGTTCGGCAGTCAATAAGGAGAAGATTGGATGCTTTCATTCTTGCTGGAGGTAGTCATTTTCAACAGTTCTTTAGATTAAGTAACATTTACATGTATTTTTTTTTGTTAATAAAATGATGTTATTGTCTAAAATTTTGTTCGCCCTGTATCTCCTTAACAAAACGGATTTTCAAAAATCATCAAAGGACAAAATATTCTTAGAATAGTCCAAGGAATAACCTCTTGAATTTTTTCCGCATGTTTTAAAAACACCCTGTATATAATATCTTCATTCTAGTTTTTGTTTTGTAATGTATAATAAAAATATTTTAAAATGAAACTTAATTGTCCAAAAATTAGAATGAAACTAATACCTAGGTATATAATTAATTGTATTAAGTAATTACGAAACTACTTTTTACTTTTTTATAGGCAATCAAACATAAAATATTCGTTCAAATATCAAATGCAACAGATACAGCCGCTTAAGTTCATAAAAAAAAAAACTAAAAAAATCCAAATCTAAACCTTATGCATTTACGAGAAATTCGATAACGATGATGATGATGCAATCATTTTTATCACATAACAACAAGGTTTTAATCTAATTTTTTATTATTAAAATTGATGAAACACATTGAACTTTATAATATGTATCTACCGGTTTAGAAATAACCTTCACTTTTATTTCTCACCTCGTACACTTAAATATAACCTGAAAACCTATAAGCTGACGGAACTGTGCACTATGGTCTTAAAGTAGAATGTTTTATGATACAAAAGAAGAAACACGCATGTCGGTGTCGGTACCTATAGGATAATACCTAATTTGATATGAATTTGGAGGAAAATAAAAATTGCAGAAGGGATATAAGAGAATTTAATGTTCCGATACCTTGGGGTCATATTGCAGGTTAGTATGTGCATTCTCTTTAGCGATAATCATTCTTCATCACTAAGTAGTACCTACCTATGTAATTGAAAAAGAAGTAAAATGCAAATTAGTACTTAGTTCCATATACAATTGTAATTATTTTGTATTACATAATAAATATAATTATGTAATGATATTCGAGGTTTATCTCAGTTGATGAGTTGATGAGTGTGGTGTGATGCGTAGATGCAGATGCCACGTGGTGGTATTCTTGTTTTATACGAGGGGTATACGGTAATTCATTCAACTAAATAACATTTTATGCGGGACGTTTATAAATTATTAAGACATTCACAGGTTTTGGAGATAATAAGTTAAAAATTGATGTTGAATAATTTTTTAAACTTAATAAATAATCATTGCGAGATTTAATAATAAAATTATAATAGCTAATAAGTGTGTAGTCAAAAACAAAAACTGTTTTTGTGTTTTTTTCAAGTGGTAAAGTTAATTTTAAATTTCTGATTGGGCGTCGTATATTGGGATTTGATAGTTTTTGTTAATCAGAACAACCTTATTCTAGTTACAGCATTAAAATATTTAAAGAAAAATATGCCTCAAAAGATTATAAAATAAGAGTTACAAGTGTGACCTTATTAGTAACAAATATGTAGGATCGGCAAAGCACCCTGTATGTTGGCTATGAAAGTTGTAAGACGTATGCATCAGTATGTTAACTTTCTCTCAATAACGCCAGAAGAACGGTATATATAGAATAAGTGATACTATTGATTAGATATAGATAGAACAGTGAGCGCTTGCTTACTGGTAGAGATGTATCTATCTGTCCAATCATGGCAGGCAGTCAGCCGATTCACGAGTGTCTCTTTATTTTTCTCAAATGCAAATATTATAAGCGTCTCATCTTTATTTCGAAGGATCCATGGGTTAACGTACTGTATATGGAACTATATAGCTTAGTGACTTATTTCCGATTACGGTTTTGGTTTCCCAATGAAACACCATATATAACTATTTCATACATTTGTAATTAAAAGTATGGCAAATACAAAAACTTTTGTTTTTTTTTTTAGTAAAAGTATGGGGCATCGAAAACGATCCACACGTCATAGTTTTCCATGGACGAATGGATAATGCAGGCAGTTTTGATAATCTAATACCTCTTTTACCAAATCACTTTTACTATATTTGTGTAGATTTACCAGGTCATGGAAAATCTTCACATTTTCCTCCCCACTTGCCCATCCATTCAGAAGATTTCCTAATGCCCTGCTTGTTACTGGTAAAATATTTCAAGAAAGAAAAATACATCTTTATGGGGCACAGTTACGGTGGCCAAATAGCGTTTCTTTTTAGTAGCGTCTACCCGCAATTCGTTGAAAAATTAGTAACCTTAGATGTACTACCATTGTACACCATTGAAACTAACAAAACTGTTGAATATTTGCGTGGTAAAATAGAGAAAGTTGTTAAGATTCAGGAAAAATTGAGTACTGGACAGCCGCCATCGTATACGTACGAAGAAGCTTTACAAAGGTTTTGTAACACTAGATATTTCGGGGAAACTCTCTTCAAGGAAGCTGCCGAACCAATGCTGAAGAGATCGTTGATAGAAAAAGGTAAACTCTTAAAAGTAACAATAACTAATAATTATACCAATTCATTGGTAGGTGTCCGATGAAAATATTCGCTATCCAGGGCCTGGAATAGAATGTTGGTTATATGATCTAATATCATGTCTACCACATCCCCTTTATACTCATGTAACCAGTGATCTATTTCATAAAACTACTTTGTAACTTTTCACTTTGCTAATTTAAAAAAATGTATGTTTTATAAAAGAAACGTTTGACAAGTTGAAAAGTGAAAAGTAATAGTATATTGCATAAGTAAAAAGCTTCTGCAAAAATTACATGATAGCGGCGAAATTGTTTTAAAACGCGCATTACGTTTACTATCCTTTACTTATGACCACCTACATAATAATATGTATTGTGTTTTGTTTACTATGCATAGAGCTATTTGCTATTTACTGCGCCTGTAGGTCATGTGTTTTTGTTTGCTTTTCTTGCTGGTCGAACCCAGACAGCACACATAATCCAATCGACGTCAAATTTAGATCTATTTGAGAGTCGAAACGTCCATAACCGTATTCGGAAGTCCAGTGTACATTACTATTAATTCGAACAGCTGATACCCAGAGTGGGTTAAGTTTAGTACACAATTAGGCATTCCAACGACCTGTCAAACAATAGGTGCCAGTGGGAAATTCTTGTATATCTAAGGGGGGTAGCGACATAGTCTTGCAACTTGGACGCTATTTTTATTCAAAGTAGTAGTCGCCAAGCCTGCCAATTTATGAAAAAATGTATAGGTGGGTTTTTTAAATATTATTTTTATTGTGTTTGACATAAAATATTTAAATGTAATGCATTATTCATGATTTTACGTAAAGTAGATAGAATACACCATATGTCGCCACCCTTAGATATACCAAACCTGCCCACTGGTAATTCATTTGTTTGGAATGCCTAATTAGTAATATTTTGACGTCCAGTTGACGTCCGTCTTGTGCTATTATTTATTTAGCTTACCAGATGATAATAATAATACTCTCTCACTCCCTTACGAGTGAATTTCAACTCCTGAAGTCGACTGAGCGACTTTTCTAGCGGAAGAGACGGCTCTGAGGCGACTTAAAGATGATTGATGGTGTCATTTGACTTACAGGTGAGGAAAATCCGAAAAATCCCAACCATTATATCATCGAAACGGTAACGCATGACGATTTTTATCATCTGGATGTCATATCAACAGAACATAAATTTCTGCTTAACAAACTCTCTTTTCTTTCTAAAATATAATTGGTCATTGAACTGGTTATTGAAAATTAAAATATTAAATCTATTGCATTTCATTCCACCAGCGGAAGTTTGAAATCTTAGTAACTATTAGAATCTTAGTAACAAAATGTTAAATGCCTCCGTAGTCGAGCGGCTTATGGAGCTGAACGTTAACCAACGAGTCGTGAGTTCGATTGTCGGCCAGGCCAAGCGTTTTTTAATTTATTTACTAAATAAAAATAATGGGTGGTACGAAATTAATTAATAATCTAAAATAAATGGCACCATGTGTGACTAGTTTTGGAATGACAGGTTGTGTACTGAGATGTAGTGATGTCAACAGCGCGAACCTTTATCCTCTCTGCGTGATATCATGCCCTTACATGGGCATGACTTAGAGATGAAAAAAAGTGAGAGGGGTGGTCTTAAGTAATGAAGTGCCATTAGTCATCATTTAAAGTGCATTGCGTGGACATGTAATGTCCGAATATAATACAGAAAGACATCATTTAAAGTGCATTGCGTGGACATGTAATGTCCGAATATAATACAGAAAGACATCATTTGAACGTCGGGTATCCTATCAAAAACGTCGTCTATTAGTCATTGTTTAACATTCATTACGAGGATATGCAATGTCCAAATATAATCCAGAAAGGGATGTCCTCTGAATGGTTAAAAGTGTGTATAACTCGACTGGACGTCCAATAGAAGTCGGAAATCTAGAAAAAAACTAATTTTTAGACGTCTGGACGTATAAAAATGTATATCGAATTGACGCCCAGTGCAAATTTTTTGGTGCTGTCTGAGTAGGTAGGTATATAAGAGTATAAGAACAATAATTTGACATTTGTAAAAAATTAAATTGTGTAATTATTCTAGATCGTAAAAATTTTATTTTAATAAAAAATATAAATTTAAAAAATTGGCTAGAAATAATAAACTAAGTTTCATATTTCATGTCCAGAATATATTCTTCCTCTTCTTACTTCTTCAGAGTCATCGTTATGATTTAAAGTATTTATTAATGGTGCAATGTCGTCTCTAATCTTTTTTTTTTTAATATTCCAAAGGTCTTCTCTATTTGACGACATTAATTGGCCTAGTACCGCTTTACTTTTTCAGTGAACTTTTTCTAAGATGTTAAAACGTGTTTTCAAAATATCCAAATCACAAACTAAATTAACTCTATGTCGAAGGTTAGCGCTATTTTACATTATTAATAAGTCATTTATTGATTTCCCAACCCGCCTTACATCATTATTTTTAATTAAATCAAAAAATGCTTGACCTGACCGGGAATCGAACTCACGACACGTCGGTTAACGTTCAGTCACTATATGCGCTCGACCACGCAGACATTTAACAATTCGTTACTAGATATGATTATAATAGTTAATAAGATTTCAACTTCCGCTGGTGGCCAATTATATTTTGGAAAGAAAAGAGTGTTGAGGTATTATCTGGCTAGCTAAATAAATAATGACCTAAGTTGGACGCTCCCTGGACGTCAAAATATTACTAAACGTATACTACACTTATGTTAAAAAACAAACGTCCACTGTGTATCGATATGCAGCTGTCAAAATTAATGTTTATAAACGGACGTATACTGGACGTCCGAATACGGTTATGGACACCACGACCCTTAAATAATGGGCGTCCATTGGACTATGTATGCAGGCAATCTTAATATTTTGTGACCATAATCCTCCGCATATAGTTCTAGATATGTAGTATTCCTATTTTAATAATTTTACCTTATCATTATCCTATATATGTCTTATAGCACTCGTGTTGTTTTGCATTAAATATTTTAGATTTTCTCACACAAAGCACGTAAAATAACAGGGGTTAATTTAGTTTTAGTCCTGAATTCTTTTGTCACTAACGCCTTGAAGTAAACATCGGTCAATGTTCCAGATTCTTTCATTTTATATAGGTTTCTAAAGAACTCTGTTATCTTCATTTGCATCAATGTTCTATTGGAGAAGCGAACGGTAAAACACAATTAAATTATTAATAACATATACAAGAACTATAAAAATTAATAATGTGCCAAAGATATTTTATAAAAAATTACATAGGGCAAAGTAGAGGGTTGCAAAGTGATCCACAAAAAATGTTTCTATAAAGTAAGTCATGACCAAAAATACATATATACTTACCAGTCATGGCCGTGATAACTACGCACGGCTCTGAATTAAATCCAAATTGACACTTAAAAAGAAGAATTATTCGCTCCGATATACGTGAATTTTTCCAAATCCTACTTTATTTCGGAAATATGTTTTTGTTGATCACTCATCGTAATAGTTTTATGAAATAGGCTCCTTGGTATAGTATAGAGTTTTCCCAGTGTTTTCTAGCTTTCAAACACCTACTAAACTGAATTTTGTATTCTAGGTGACGGATCATATTATTTTTCCACGGACCAACGAATGAAGGCCTACATAAATCCACTCCATGATATGCGATATTTTATCGAATGCAATAAACTTAACCCTATTTCCGTTCCAGTACTAATTATTTTTGCAAAACTAAATGATCTTCCCAGAAAACGCTTCGCTCGTACTTTAGAGCAATTACAAAAAAATAAGAACGTTACAGTTTTGTATGTAGACGGCGCTCATGACGTCCACAATAATTATCCACAGAGGGTGGCGAGATACATTTGTCAGTTTTTGTTGTTACAAAATGCTAAATTATGAAATTTTTATTCATAATTTAGCATTTTGTAGAGATTTAATAGGTAATATATTTTTAGATATTTAATAAAAAATCGTTTATTTATTAATAATTGGTTTTGATTCTAAAGCTAGTGATTTGATGCATTTTTATAAGAGGTATTTCGCGACGAAATAAATAACTCCAAAGCTCACTGAACCTAAATATTTTTTTTTATTATTTCTTTGTCACCGTGCAACAAGATTATATAAGATTTTTTGCGTATTTCGACTTCCAGAACACGTTCTTAAAATATTTCCCTTTTCTCGCGAAACACCCTGTATATATACATATAATTACATAGCAACTGTAAATCAAAGTCTAATATCTACGTCTGCTTCTTTCATCTCGGTGAGGAGTGAAATAAGTAAAAAATCCATTGCGTACTTTACCACTGTAGTTCAGGTCACGTTCCGCTCATGCTCCATTCAAGGCGCGGTGCAATATTGTGACATGCAGTTTAAATGGAAATATTCATATTTAGCGCTTTATCGTACTGTGAGGCTCATGATATTTGACGGCGCTCTTTCTTCTTGCAGATATTTTGAACGAACCGTGAGTGGTCCTTTGCATCAGTGTGTACAAACAACAATCAGATTAGCCATAACTTATCTATTCTCTAGCGGAGAAATTGCCTCCCAAAATGTAGTACTCTGCTTTATCAAATCTGCTGAAATTTTATTCAAAATATATTGAAATGTATATTTTGTCATGCGAAAATATTGTGTCGTCTACATTGCCTTTATATAGAGTGAAAAAACCTCACTCGGTTTTTCGTTTTCTTAAAATACCCTGAACACATATCTTCTTGCGTTGTTGTTCTTCATCATCTAAACATATTGCAATTGCAGCTAAATCAATTATTAATAATTTGTTTATCTTACAATAGGTATGTGTCGACGCTTTTCATAAAACTCATTAAAAATATTAAAATGAGCGTCAGTTGAGTGTAATATGTGAATGCTACCTCAAATCCTTGATTGTGAGCGTAGTGTAACCTTAGCGCCTAGTGAAAATCGGCCTTAATCCTTTAAATATTTCTGTCTTGTTTGGGGTTTTAAGCTCCCCCTCCCTGTGATCCGCCTATGGTGAATCTTTCATTGAATATACTAGAACGATGAATTTGGTAAATGCATATTCTGAGAAATGGCGAAGGTGCTTCTAGAATGTGCACAGTCTCACCAGAATTTACAATCGAACATTACCAGCGCTTACTTACGTATTCATATTTCTTCCTTAATAAAAAAGGTGTCTTCTGAAATGTTTTCTATAAAAAATAAAGTTTTTTTTTTATGATGGCGAAAAGAGATGGAAAAGAAAATAGACGAAATTGAGAAAACAGAAAGGCAAGTTGTCAAAATATAGAAGAGGTAAAGAATTAAATAAGTGGAGTCAACGACCCAATTAGCACATGACGGGTTTATAAAAGCTGTAAGAATATTCTTAAAGCAAATGTTTATAAGAGAATAAGATCTATAATTTTACTTGTAGATATTCTTACAGGCTTTATACAACTCTTATGAGCTTAAATTGGACACCAAATTTTAAATCAAAAAAGTTTTTTAGTTCCCTCATAAATGCTTTATTAATGTGCCGCAAAATATAATAAATCTTATTTGTAGATACTTACAAGAGTTTAATAAAGCAATCTCAAATAGGCAAATTTATAGTTAATGTATTTACAACCAATTTGAAAACGTAAACACTTTGACGCTACATTTATAAGAAACCTTTATTCGGAACCTTTAAAAAGCAATAAGACTTATAGAGAAAATTGGAAGGAAGTCCTGCTCATGTTAAAAATTCAACTTTCGACGGGAAGATGTCGTGGACCAGTTACCTATAACAGTTCGAGGAGATGCTTTAGATGACTGATGACTTTGAACAGAAGAGATTAAACATGCGATATAGCCACAAACACTTGGAGCAGGTGTATCGATTACAGTTAAAGAATTGCGAATAGAAACAAGACGAGAACCTACAAGAATACGAATTAGAAGTTGTCAAGATGCTGCGATTTGCCTACCCATCAGCTCCAGAAATATGATTGAATGTTTGGCTGTTCAAGCATCAAAACTCTCTCCAGTAAGTCATTTATGGCTCAGTGGGAAGAAGGCTCACTTTGAGCGAGTACTCGAGAATGATGACGGTTCCGAACTCCGGAACTTCAAGATGGATCGCGTTACCTTTTACATTTGGAAACACCTTCCGCGATCGATCCACTTACGTACTGGATTCAAATGTACAGAAAGTATCCACGCCAAAGATAGAGAGCAACCAGCTAAATTGGAGGATGATTAGAAACATGGTCGAAGTAATCTTCCAAGACACCAAGGTTCAAATACTGGTCTGCAGTGTCCAGGTTACAGCGACGCTGGTCCCTCGTTACTTCCATGCAACTTAAAATTGTAAAAGAGGGTCCAGTCTCAGATACAACCATTCCATTTTAGTTTCGTAAGAGTTCCAGGAGGAACTATCTCTTGAGGGGACAATAAAATGCGAGCCATTTCCAACCAATTCGGTCATGCTCTAATCCTTTAAGTCCCTCTTTGTTTTGTTTGGACTTTTCAGCTCTAACATGTCCAATTGTCAAAAATATTTAAATAAGTCAATCTCCCTCCCCGGTGATACGCCTATGGCTAGTCGTAATGAATCATTTATAAAATGTACGAGAACTATGACGAATTTGGTAAGTGCTTCTAGAATGTTCGTGTTCTCGCCAGAATTTACAATCGAATATTAGCAGCGCTTACTTATGAATATAAATAGGGTGCATGAGGCAGCAAGAGTCACGTCAGCTGAAGATAAACATTCCAACTGTTAGATAAATTAGATTTATAAGTGAAATATAAATTATAGCTAAGTATTTAAATATAATTTAATCAGTATTTAGTGAAAATAAATTATAAATAATAAACTTTTTTTAAAATAAATAACGCTACACTACTGATAATTTAATTATTATTATTATAATTCAGTAAGTATAAAATGATGGAGAAATTCTTAAGTTCGAATTGGAAAAATTTGAATGACAAAATTTCGAAAACAATAGTTCGAACTATCAAAAGTCGAATGACAAAACTTATAAAATACAAAAGTTTGAAACTAAATGAAAGTTCAAAATAGAAGCAACATTTACGTTCTGAAGAAGCTGGCAGGCTTTTTCAGTTAGGCTGTTTAAAATTATGTTGCAAGAGCGAAAATACCGGTTTAGCGTATTTTGGATTCGGATACTTAGTTGGTCAGACTTTTGGACTGATAGCAGATCAGTATCATCGGCATATACGATAGGTGGATTGGTGGTGGAAGATCGTGAGTACATATGTATAGGGTATAAGAGGGGTGAAATCGGAACCCTGAGGTACTCTAGTGTTGCCGACTTTATGATGGTTGTGAGGTATGAGTATATAAATTTGGAGAGAGAGAGAGAGAACTATGTTTACAGAAGTAACTGATGTGACAACAGTTGTGTGAAGTGAGGAGATTGCGCGCAGAAAATTAGTAATAAAAAAGCTTTCCATATGCCACTAACTGTCTACGTAAGTTGGCGGCATATGAAAAACTTTTTTATTATTAATATTAGGAATACAACCATCAGATATCAAATGTTATCAGTAGTATACGAGGTTTGTTAATAATAAAGGTACTTTACTCTTCAGCAAAATTTATATTATTTGACATACCTCGTATACTATTGTAAAATATATATGATGGTTGCATTTTGGGTTTCAGGCCATGCAGAACATTTTATAAGGAATAACTTTTTTTTTCGTAAAGTTAATAATAAAAAAGTTTCCCATATGCTACGAACTTAAGTGGTCACACTGTATATGCATATATATATTTTTAATTCTCATTTTTCATTAATTTTTCTATTATTTTTTTTTCTATATTAGGAATTTGAACTGTGATACTATATGCTATGTGGTCGTTCATAGCGGTTTCGCATAAACACAGGACTTCAGTCTGAGTGGGATTTTAACAAAAGGTAGTGAGATGTCGACAAAGTTTTTACAGATTATAGTGATAATTTACAATTTAAGATGTGTCTATTATAATGTTTTGCAGATATAGTTCTCTAAATTAATGGCTAATCTGCTGTAGGAAAGAAGAGAGATGTGTGGGACACAATCGGAAGTAATTGTCTCACCCGGTTCAGTACAGGAATCTGTCACAAGTATGTCTAGAGTTCAGGTCTCCAAAATTTTTGAAATCATCCAAATAAATATTAATTTGTCTTGCAAGTTTGGAGAATTATTGGGTCTTAAAAAAACAAATTTTCTTTTATGTATATATATAAACATTTAATTAAATATAAAATTTCATATAGGTACCATTCGTTTGCATCTTTATACTAACTCCATCTCCTAATTCTAGTTCCTTTGGCTCATCAAAGAAAAAACAAGTCTTTTTAAAGTGCATACTGTTTAACGTAGAATATACAATGTCATCGTAAAATTGTATATCGTACCATAACAGTAGAGCATTAGATACTCCTTTCCTTGTCACTATTATGTCCTTGGATTTTTCGCCGTCTCCGTCTAATTGGAATTTAACCGGAGGAGAATGTTCCGTGTACATTAATCTTTCTAAATTTGGATGTTCATAACCCTGAAATTTTTTTTATAAGTAATAAAACTACAATTTTTGTTACTATAATATCATACTTCAGACTTTTTTTAGTAATTTTTCAGCAAATAGTTCAGATCTACCTTCTAAAATTGTAAGTAATTGTAAGTATTTTCTAAATAGTTCAAATGTACCACCTATAAATTTTAAATACATAAACAAACTGAATATTCACAAAAAAATAATATTTTTTTGTAAGGTACTTATATATAATTTTAATAGTTTTCAATGAGTAGTTGAAATATCCTACGTTTAAATTTTAAGCAAAAAATATTCATAAAACAAATTTAATTGTCATTTTTTCATAGATATAATTTCTAATTGAATAGTTCAAATATATCATTTATAAAAGGTTCTTTCGTTCGCTGTTGGTGCAGTACACCAGTGTCAATTACACCACCTTATTTACCTAGTTTACTTCCTCCTTATTCCTTATACACATGTCGAGTGTAATTCATTTCTGTTAAATAGCTGGTTGAGAAAATATCCAGCAGTGGACACCATATCGCCAACAGGAAGCTGTAGTTGGTTTTACACCGGACCGAGCCAAACGAAAGGTTTAGTGTCCGTTGGTGTAGTTCATTCCTACACCAGTGAGACGAACGAAAGAACATATTGTAAAATGTGAGTGCATTTATTAAAACAATGATTTTGTCATTATTATGTGAATAGTTCAAATGTACTGTCTCAATTTAGTCAAATTGTGTTTTTACCAGGAAAGTTTTGGGGTATTTTTATTTCTTCCATTCTAATGTTTTTTGTGGTGCTGAATCCTAATCTGAAGTTTGCTAATATCATGACGTACAATTGAAAAAATGTAATAAAATAATCCATTTTTTGCTCATAACTCGTAAACTATCAACTTTTCGTAAATAAGTTCCACTATTGAAAATGAAAGTACATAATATTTCTTACATACGTTATTTAGGTTTTTCTCTGACGAGCCGTTAGGACTCAAGCGCTAGTTGAAAATGGTGTATTTCTGCTAAGTCTGCAAAACCCCACTTTTTCAACTCCAAAACTCCAATTTATTATTGTCAGTATCTTAGGAAACTGTAAAATGGCCTAAAAACTCAAAGGAAGAGAAGAAGAGGGCTCAATGTTGAAGCAGCAATGGAAAATGTCTACACTTATCTTATGAATAGTGATAGAGTGCCGATTTTCGCTAGACAAGTTGGTGGACCAGATCAAGGGTAATTTTCATCCTCACCAAAATACAGCTAATCTACTCAAAAAATATGGAAGTGATATAATAATAATTAACTTTTCTCCAAACAAGAAGCCGGGGTAGTGTTTCAAAAACACAGGGTATAAATTTTTGTATGATGGTTGGTACCAGCAGGCGTTAAAAAATGAACAAAAGGAAATACTTCGGATTGTTAAGATGGCTGCTGTTATGAGCTGACGTAGATTTCTTTTTCTTCACCCATGTAAGGGTTCCTTCCTGTCAGCTGGAAGCGAGGTGGACTGTAGATTTATAACTTGTAGAATGTATGATTTTATTGGTGCACTTTCTTAGGCAACCCATTTGCGGTATATTTAAAAACATATTTTATTTAATAAAAAAAATATTTTATCCATTAAACAGATGGGTGAATGTCGGCTTTACTTACGAATCCTGGACTATAAACACAAGAAACTTTTAAAATAAACGAAAATTGTAGTTATACAACTATTATTTTTTTGCTTTATTGTTGAAAAACAATTTATTTTTAGGCATTTGAATTTTTTGCAGTTTTTCAATGTCGCGTCACGAAATTTTGTTAGCAAACTTCAGATTCGGATTCAGCACTCCAAAAAACATGTAATATAAAAGAAATTACCCTAAAACTTTTCCGCTAGGGGCCCTTTTCAGAACAAATTGAGTGTATTGTAAATAAAAAAATCTAATATTACAAGAAATGTCCTGAATAATTTTTTTTAACATATATATGATTTATTTTTAAGTTGTTAAGCTCAAATGTTCCCTTTATAAATTATTGTAAGCAAAGCTTAACGTACACAAGAAATGTTTTTAGTAATGTTTTGAAATGAATTAATAATTTAGTCATTTTTAAGGGAGTAGTTTAAATGTACCATTTGTAAATTATCAAAAACAAGCTTAATATCCATAAGAAATGTTCTCATAGTAATTTTTTTAAATATTACTTACATTAATTTTTAAGAGAGTAGTTCTAATGTACTTTTTTTGGTAAATTATTAGTACGCAAGTTTAAAATTCACTGAAAATTTAAATGTTTTAAAACGTATAAATGATGTCTAGGACGTTTTTAAAAAAGTAGTTCAATTGTCATTTATAAAATTGAATAAGATATTTAATATTCACAAGAAATGTTTACAAAGAACATTTTTGAAACTTCTAAAAAATAATTTCTACTAAGTTTTAGGAAAATAATTCGAATGTGCCACCTTTAAATTTATTTAGACACTAAAAAGTCCGAAGTATGGTTATTATATAATTTTTTCTACGGCTATAATACAAAATTTCAACTTTCTCATTTCCTTATTTAATAATTCCGATAACACCAAGTAATCTTTTCCGTATCAGATCCTTATCTTATAACACAAAGTAGTCATTCCTTAATAATTTAATGTCACACATTAGATAATATTCATAGTAATTTTATAAATGAATAAAAAATAAAGCAGTGTGTTATAGCCATAGAAAACGTAAACTTGCAAGTAAACCTCGTTAAATTATGTACTATTTTAAAACTTATTTACTAACCGAGTATTCATTAATAACGTCCGCAATTTTAAATTCCAAGACATTCTCATCATCAACTCTATTGCAAAATTCGATGTACGGCGAACTAATCAACTGCACCATAATACTCAAACTTTGTGGAATATTTATCGAAGAACCAATTTCGTTTTTCTTAAAACAACAATTCTCCAACGAACCATCCACGTTAACAGTATCGAAAAAGAAAATGCACGTTTCTTGGCCGGGCGTCACCTCAAGTTCGCTCACAATCACGAACCGTTCTTTGGGAATATGGTTAGCCGACAAAACGTATTCGAAAAACGTTCTGTCGGCTTCCGTTTTTATCGGATGGTACACTGTAGAACAATTGTTTTTCGCTAGAAGAAACCCCAATAGAGGACACGAATTGTTGTCCACTACCTAAAAAATACATTTCGAATGTGTCAAAATTGCTAAAATTTAACCAAATAAAATTTTCTTTGACAGTAAAACTCATTGATACAAAAAATTAGAGGTATGATACTTGACTGGCAAAATCTCGTTCAGTTCGTGCAATGACGTAAAGTGGTGTAGAAAATTTAAATGGTCGATTAAAGGTATGGAATAGTATATTACATTACGAGTGTGGAAAGTGACATTTTTCACACGAGTGGGAAATATTGTCGCACGAGGCGTAAGCCGAGTGCGACTATCACACGAGTGTGGAAAATCACTTTTCACACAAGTGATGTACAATATTTTTCCTACGACCACAAAATAATTTCATCAGAAATGTAAAACCAGATTATTATAATAATTAAAATGTATTTAAAAAAATAATCAACAATAATCGTATTTATTAAATTTTCATAATTTCTAAACAAATAAAAAAAAATAAAAAAAAAATTCTGGCACAGCCAGGATTCGATCGCGGTCGTTGGACGGTCTCAAATTGCAAAGTTGATGCTCTAACCAACTGAGCTAACAGGCCTTACGGTAATTGATTGATCTAATCGCTTATGTGTTTAACCAGAATAAAAAGCAAATATATCTTAGTTATTTTAAAAATAATTGTTAAAGATAAATATCTAGGATCTAATTTACAATAATTTAACAATCATATCGATTTTAGTATTAATATGGACATTACATCGATCAAAATAGAAATTATGTGTTTGACATTTTCTGACAGCTACTGCGGAAAGTAGCATATTCTCACTTGGGTGGAAAGTAAATTCTTATTCATACGCGTGTGATATAGGGCACTTTCCATAGGTCTATATAGTGTGATATGTGTCACTTTCCTAAGTGGTCGTAGGAAAATATATTATAATAATATACTCGCTAATGATACCCTAGTTAGGTTTTCCAGACGTCACGCTTTAGGCGTATTTGCCACTCTTTTTGACTTGCTTGTACGCGCAACGCCACAGTACGAAAATGTCCCGCTTTTGACAGAAATGCCACGTTGTTTAATATTCAAAGTCAGTTTATATAAAAATATAAGATGAGGACTTTTTTTTTTGAAATTTTTGACCTGATTATATAAAAATTCTTGGTATTTTAACCTGATGCTCTGTCAGCACGGTTGTCACGCTTTTCACTTTCATAAATCAACCCTTACCCTGGTTAACTTGTAATGAAGAAATTTTTCATTACTTTATTCCTAGTCAATAAATGATTCCTGTCGCTCGAAACGTGTATGGATTTTTCCTCAAGTCTAGCCTTCGGTGCGCGAACCTCTATCTCGGAGTGATGCGCGGTAGTACTGGCTTTGATTCAGCGCGCGAGAGATATTTATTTATTGGACATTCATGTCACGCCTACCGTTGCAATTACACTGAAAATTAGCTAATTCCAAGTTTGATTCTTTTCGTTTATTCCGTTTCAAGGAAAATACCAAGTTTTTAATATTCTAACATTCTTATCGTAGACCACAAAAAAGATTTTTATTTTTGTTTCACCGCTGTTTTAAAGCGTTTTATTTTATCGTGAAGAATATTTTCGTAAAATATTTCACGTTTTCCGGATTTTGATTTAGTTTTTTTTTTTTTTCGATTGAATACCTTAAAATTAATAAACCCTTCTAGTTAAGATTTTACATGTTTTTGTAAAATATTTCACGTATTCCGAATATTGATTTATTATAATAAATTATATACAGGGTGTCAAAGAAAAAAGTGCCATAATTTTAACCACGTATTTAGCACATCAAAACAAACAACTTTTGTTAAATGAGTTTATTTCTAATAGCCCTAGTATTCAAGATTTTTTTTTTTCAAAAATTTTAATTTGTTTTAGTTACCCGCCACTGAGGTTAATCGAGAAATATGAATAAGTTAATATTAGCTAAACAAAAAATACACAAGGCATTATATTAAAGTACTATCACAGCGAAAATAATCTGGGGCAGCAACAATTTTGTTAAATGTAGCTTTTTAAAGAATTATAAAATTTAATTAGAAAAGGTTTACATTGTTGTCATGAAGGTTGAAAGGTGCAATACCTAACTTTTTAGTGGTAGCCTTGGTTACAAAACTTCACTGTTTTAGATTTCATAATACCAGGCGTAATTAATACACTTTCATATTTTTCGGATTAATTTTGTTAATTAGATTAAAATACAGTTTACTGATCCATATTATTTCCACTGTGATCGTATATTATGTGCTAACAAATTTGGTTCTGTTATAAAACTAAATATGTAAACAATGTTTTGTTAATCTTTGCACATCAAGAAATGAATTTTTGACTTACCAAGAAAATCTTTTATGGCCTTCTTATTTTAAAAAATGCACAAATTATTTCACAAGTTTATAACAAATGTTCAAAATGTTCTCCTTTATATTCTAAGCATAATTGAACACGCCTATGAAAATTTGTTTTTACTCTTTCTAAACTAACATCATGTTATTCAATACTGGTAAAAATCGGCATTTTAAGAAGCAAAATAAATCGAACTGCAAGCTATTCATCGACATGTACACAACTAAAATTAAAAATATTCGTCCGGCGTGTTAGTCATTTGAACTGTAGCAAAAAATGTATAACATTGTGAATCATGTATTAAAAACTTTGATGGATTTTAATTCAATTATTTCTTTTATCACAGACAGCTCGTTAGGGTTATTTTAGGGTTTACAAATATCAAACAAAAATGGTAAATTTTCGAAACTTATATTTGACAAAAGTTGCTTGTTTTGATGCGCTAAATACGTGGTTAAAATTATGGCACTTTTTCTAAAAAAAAAAAAATGAAAATAAATTTGTTATTAAATGTTTTGACTGCAATAAATCCGTAATATTTCACTATTAGATTATTTCCGCATTTTTCCGCGATTTTCAAATTAACGTTTGAATTTTTTTTTATTTTGAAAAATATCGGAATCTTGAACTTTTAAATTTTTTGTGATTGTTTGCATTTATAAGTCTAAAATTCTATGCCTCCATCTGTCCCCGGTCTAAAATTTATATAGAGTGGCTCAAAAGTCTGGAAACAGCCAATTATCTCATAAATTGCTAGTCCTAATTGTACAAAATTTGGGGTACACCTCTTTTGGGATACGGAGATTCCGGATTTGATATTTGCAATGTTGCCAGATTTGCCGCTTCTCTTATATTATTAGTCACTTTGGTTTTTTATATTCATTTCTCTGTATATTCAGTCACTTTTGGAATCTCCTATTCAATACGAGTTCAACCATACGTAACACTTATGATTTTATGTAGTCTGGAAGGTCTTAAATAAATAAATAAATAAATAAAACAGAAGTCTGGCAACGCCTAATTGTCTCAATAATTTTTTTAATACAAACTATTTTCAACTACATTAAAACGTAACAATTGAAAGATAGCATTTTTAACATAATGGTTACTTTATCAAGTGTTCAAAATGTGCTCCATTTTTGTGAGTTGACAGTACCCTAATCGATGGTAGAATGCGTCTACCACATTTCTCCATGATTGTTTAAGACCTTCCAAACTACATAAAATCATAAGTGTTACATTTGTTTGAACTCGTATTCAATAGGAGATTCCAATAATGACTGAATATACAGGGTGATGAATTTGAAAAACCAGTGACTAATAATATAAGAGCAACGGCAAATCTGGCAACATTGCAAATATCAAATCTGGAATCTCCGTATCCCAAAATAGGTGTACCTCAAATTTTGTACATTTAGGACTAGCAATTTACGAGATAATTGGCAGTTTCCAGACTTTTGGGCCACTCAGTATATATCATAACTGTGACTCTATAGATTTTAAATATAACAGTTCGTCAGTACACTTTTGTGACAATTAAAACGAAAACACTTGTAGATTAAGTCGGCACCATATGGGAAACTTTTTTATTGTTACTTTTATGAAAAAAAGTTATTCTTTATAAAAATTTCTGTATGTTCTAAAACCTAAAATACAATCATCAGATATTAAAATTTTTGAGTCGTATACGAGGTGCGACAAAAAATATAAAATCTGCTCAAGAAGTATCTTTATTTTTGACAAACCTCGCATACGACTGACAAAATTTTATATATTTGTATTTTAGATTTTAGAACATGCATAACTTTTTATGAAGAACAACTTTTTTCCTAAAATTATTGATAAAAAAGTTATTATTCATAAAAATTTCTTCATGATTCAATCATCTGATACCAAATTTTATCAGTCGTATAATCTGTATTCCACTGACAATTTCAGTGACATTAGATTTTTTGTAGTTCCACTCAAAGATTTTAGAAAATGAAAATTTGGAAAATTCTTATGCGAGACATGTCGCATTTTATATAATCTGATTTATTTGAATGAACACAATAAGTTAATTCAAATATTTTTGAAAATAAAATATTAAGTAATGAATGCTTTACAGTTGCTTGAAAAATTTAGAATAAAATTGTCTATCTATGCAACTGTTCAAAAAGTTTAAAACTGAAAAGCTCCATTGGATGTAGTGGTAAAATGAAGATAGAAAAGAAAGAACAAAAAGTTCTGATTTTATGTGATTAATTGAAAATATTAAACTGTAAAGTATCGTCTTTTATGAAAACAGGAGCTCATCTTGAAAATATTATAGAAAATCTAGTTGAAATGTCAAAAAATTACACCATATTATAATAATGGGTGGTCTAAATAATATGTATCCCAAGTTCCCAAGTTACGTGATATTGTAAAATTTGCACTCATACTAATTTAATTTTTTTTATAATCCCAGAAATCAGTCCTTATAATAAAATAAACTGGTACATTAATAAGTTCAACAGAAAATTGGAAGACTATGTAGTAAAACTTGACAAGTATGCTGAAGGAAAAGTAAAGCTATTAGAAATCTTAACAATGCAAGGTGAATGCATAAATAAAAAGCAAAATTCCTAAAGTAAGCAACCTTACTTTTGCTGGACTATAGCCTATACAATCTATTACCCACAATATCTCAAAAAGCTTGGCACTAATCAGTTTAAAAAGCAACTAAAAGCATTTTGTTGAATGATTGCTTCTACTCTGTCAATGAATACGTGAAGCACTTACTGCTTCCATGAAGTATATTTTATTTGAATTTTTTCCTCTCTAACAATTACACACCGAAAATTTATTAATATACACACACCTATTTTTTTATGTTTTTTGGTTTTACTATTTATATGAATGTTTTTTTTTGTGTATGTTTTAAATTTCGATTTTACTCAGACTTTCTACAAACGTTGTAATTTAATGTAATTTAGTTAAATAAATAAATCTAAATCTATTACTTTTGTTGTATTATTAGTGGCATAACTTTTATTCTCATTTGCCTATTTATTTAGAAAATCATATAAAAATTATTCTCAACTGTTGTTGTTTTCTTGCTTGTTCTAGCGAGTTTTGAAGAAATTGGGTTATTTTGTCGTGTATTGAGTAAAACAAGTGTTTTATTTCGTTGTGCAGACTTAGGATGGAAAATAGTGACCGAAACAGAATTAATACTATCAGTGGCGTAGCCAGCCATTTTTCATGGGAGGGTTTTTTTTAGAACTATGGAGGGTTCCATCAAGAAAGTGAATAAAAAAAAAACAGTTAATAGCGTCAGAGCCAATACTATAGCGGAAATGGTGACGCGAGGACCCTCTATGGGGGGTTCCTATCCCCAACCCCCCTACTACAATATTCCTTTAGCAGTACTAAAATGCTTACGTTTTATTTGTTGTATAAATAATCCTGGAGATACGCTTATAAGAGAGTTTTATAATAAAATAGTTGTAGTTCTGTTATATAATTTCTACAGAATCAAAATGTTATATAAAGTGGGGCCCCTTTTGGGTGTATTAGTACTACATAGAATATTATTATTAAATATAAGATATGTCGAGTAAAAGTTCTAATAACATTTACAGAACTTTTTTTGGCTTTTTGGGACAAACTTTGTGTCAATAGTCGGTCTTTTAAAAGCTCCGCCTCCGCACCACAATCGTCAAGGTCACGTAGTATCAATCTGCACAATATCATACCTTCTCTTTATAGTAACATGAGTAAAACTTACCGTAAGATTCGTATTCCAAAATTTTGGTGCTAAGGCAGCTATACAATCCACTAATTTTTGATCGTTCAGAAATGTCACTACTTCTTTTGACACCTTAAAACACGTGTGATTCCCGGCTTCAGTCTCCACCAATGTGACGTTTAATCCGCAATCTCTCACTGCGACTTTTATTGTGATAATTGTTCCTTTCACCACCTGCACCGGATGGTCAAGGTAGATAATTGCTTGTTCCCAGCATGTAACTTGGTCTTCATCTAAAGGATTGTTTGTGATGGATATGCACTCTGTAAGGTTGAGATCGAACCAGACAGCAAAAGCGTGCAATTCGCCTAAAAATATTTTCAAAAATAGATAAGTTTAAAAAAAATGTAAAACATCAAAAATAAACTAGTCCCACAAGTACGAATTTCCTTATAAATTTGTTATTCGCTCCGTGCGCGACAGCAGCGCCAATTCGTTTTGGTACTAATGGACTATTTCTGCGTAAACTGACAAATACAATTTTTAATAGAATTCGTAATTAAAAAGTATATACGTTAGTTTTAATTAAAGTATATGGAGTTGTAAAACAAGTAAAACATTAATTTATTATTATATATATATTTTTATCTCTTAAATTAAAGAAAATTATGTATAATCAATAAAAATCAATAATAAAATATAGACAGGCAACAGTATTTACTGGAAAATGTATGAGAAGTTGCCTAAGTCTAATAAGTTGTTATTGAAGAAGTAGCCTATTCTGTCAAAATACAAAAATGCCATTTAAGGTAGTTCACTCGCGACAGTCGTACACAAAAATATCGCCCTATAGTGAATACCAACCGTTCGAGATTCTTAAATCTAAAGAAAGGTTATTTTTGTAACAGACTGTACACACACCACATGTGATCCTATATACAAATATGGTATTATATCGCGTAAAATCCATCCGGCAACATCGCAAATATATTGTGAAACGTTAAATGTATTCCTAAAGTAAAATAAATGTAAGTATCAAAATGTTTCATTGTCAGAATCAATTAATTGCGAGATAAAGGAAAATTTGTTAAGCAGAACGTCCTCAACAAAAGCAAAAAATTAATTTTGGCTATGAATAATGCAAAAAAAATGAGAAAGGAAACCCCAAGCTTGAAAAATAACCTATGCAGTGGTCGCATCGTGGAATTACTAGAGTTGGGAAAACATTTAAAATGTTGCTGGTGTGAAAGAGTTCTTTCTCTTGAAAATATTATAAATGAAACACGAAAGGGCCTTTATTCAATTTTAAATGTTAAATGTAATGAATATAATATTGAAACTATAGTACCTACGGACAAAGTTCATGCAACAAAAAGTGAAGTTAAGTATTCAGATGTCAACACTAAAGCAGTTCTAGGTAAATTTAAAAAAAATACATAAGTATTTGTTATGTTTATAATTTTTTTATTATAATTAATATAATTTTATTTATTTAAAGGTGCTGTCCATTCAGGGTTTGGTCAAACTGCTTTAAATAAATTTCTTGCTGTCATGAACGTTCCTACGATATCATCAATACTACAGAAAATCATTACTTTTATTTGTATTTTTTTATGACTTCCTCATACTAGTAAGTTAAAATTTTAAATTACTTTATATTCATTTTTTTTGTGTAACTGTATTTTATTTTGAAGGCATGTTTAAATAAAATTATATTCATCTTTTGCATATTTATTTAATTTTGAAGACATGTTTAAATACAATTAAATTTAAATTGTTAAATCATATCAACCTAAATTATAAACAACGTCCCTTCCCAGAAGGTCTCGATAAAGTGATAAACTTGACTTGTCCGCGGCAATAAAAAGGTTGGGAAGCACTGATCTAACAGCCATTTGAATTAGCGGGTGTTGAGTGTATCGATTACAACGTTGCCAAGTTGTAATCACAATACGCCACTATGCGTCGACTTCTTTAAGAACATTTTTACTTTAAAAATCTATATTTCTTTATCAAAACGGTAAAAAAATTCAGCGTTTTTTTAGAAAATTTTATAACTTCTTGATTTACATTACATTAGTTTTTAAAAAATATGGTAAGATCCGTTTTCGAGATATCTTGAAATAAATGCAATGATTGTGTACATGACAGGACTTCAAGAGTGTTAATTATGCACATTTTGATTGTTAATATCTCGTTTTACAGACGGTCAAATTTTTTTATTTTTTTTAGGTGCATAAAAGACACTTTCATTAACCTCATATTTCAATTTTATTGAATTCTTAAGAAAGGACGTTTTACGAGTGAACTGCTTTAATAATAGCATGAAGTTAAAACGTATAAAAAAGGATCGTTATTTATATTTTTATTTTTGTTCGAAAGAAAACATAGAATGAATAATTAAAACTGGTTTCCCATCAGTAAGTCACAAAATTGCATTCCAGTCACATAAATAATCAAAGGCAGAAATCTTGAAATCTAGTCCTTGCTGAATGAACATTTAAGAATAAAGGGTTATTAAAGAATATCGTACAAAAGTAAAGGTAATTTTTCTTCTTATTGTACACCTATCCATTTATTTCTTTGATTTAATTTCCACTTTGCTACTGAAATTTTTCATATAAGTTTCACTGTTTTTTTTTTGCTAGTATTTGTACAATTTTCAACATAGCAACTCCGGTTGCTTATTGTAGTTTTTACCTACTTTAAAAAAAAAAAAGTAAAATGTATACGTGTATTTGATATGCCAAAATTACAAAATATCGCCTTAAAATGCACGAATTATCCGCAGCTAGCGCTAATATCGCTTCTGCTTCCCTTTCCATGACTTCGCACGGAGTGAATAAAGGACTTAAAAAGTTAATCTTGTTTCTTGAAAAGACATTATTTATTCCTTACTGGTTGCCTTCTAAGAAATAATCAATTTTTAAACTTTGCGCCAAATTCTACTAATTTCATTGGATGTCTTCAATACCATGTTGCCAGATTTAAGATATGTTCGAATGTACGAGGGTGAATCAAATATATAAACCAGAATTTTAATTTAACGTAGTGACATGATGCCCTGGTATATATCAGATGGAGATGTGAGGAGGAGGTGACTCATCAGAACGGCTCGCCAAAGATGATTAACTGCCAGTACCATCATGTCTGAGCGAGAGGTACACACGTCCGTTGGGCAATAAATTTTTGTCACGAGAGGGCGTAAAACCTGCCGAAATTTTGCGTCGATTTACTGCACAACAAAACTCTTCCAAAGTCCACGACTGGCATAAGAAATTTTCAAATGACCAAGAATTAGTGGCAAACGAGAGTCATGCGTGCCGACCCCGAACAAGCATCACATATGTAAATATTCGTTAAAGTAAGAAAATACTTTTTCCTACGACCACTTAGGAAAGTGACACATATCACACAATATAGTTCTATGAAAAGTGCCCTATATCACACGCGTATGAATAAGAATTAACTTTCCACCCGTGTGCGAATATGCTACTTTCCGCATCAGCTGTCACAAAATGTCAAACGCATCATTTCTATTTTGATCTATGTAATGTCCATATTAATACTAAAATCGATATGATTGTTAAATTATTGAAATTGTTGTAAATTAGATCCTAGATATTTATCTTTAACAATTTATTATTAAAATAATTTTAATATTTTAGTAATTACTAAGTTACGTTTGCTTTTTATTCTGGTTAAACACATAACCTTTTAGATCATTCAATTGACGCAAGGCCTATTAGCTCAGGTAGTAGATTATCAAACTTTATCAACTTTGCCATTTGAGACCTGGCGAGCGACCGCGTTCAAATCCTTGCGGGGGCAGAATTTTATTTTTCTTTTGTTTTTTAGTTTTTTTTTGTTTAAAAAATATGAAAATTGAATAAATACGAGTATTGTTGATTATTTTTTTAAATACATTTTAATTATTATAATAACCTGGTTTTACATTTTTTGATGACATTATTTTGTGGTCGTAGGAAAAATGTTGTACATCACTTGTGTGAAAAGTGATTTTTCACACTCGTGTGATTGTCGCACTCGGCTTGTGCCTCGTGCGACAATATTTCCCACTCATGTGAAAAATGTCGCTTTCCACACTCGTAATGTAATATACTATATTTCAAAAATATATTTACCTTCTTCTATACACCTTAGCTGTATCAATTTTTCATAGGAATCATCATTTAATATCTCACTGATTTGTTCTAAATTATAGAAATCTATGTCGAATACTTGATGGATGTCCGTCATATATTTTACGTCCCTTTCAATGAGTGTTTCGGCTTCATATGGTTCTAAATCATATTCAGTTAAACATACATTTTGAAGATTTAGAAGTTGTAACGATTTATCCAATGTCCATTTATGCCTTTTGATTAAATCTTGACTACTTATTCCTTTATAGAAACAAAAGAGAATATTTATATCCGATGGCTCACTAAATATTACGGGAGTAATATATGTTCCTGTCGGGAAACATGCTCGAAATTTAATGTTTTAAAATTAGTAAGAACTATCGTTGATATACAATGAATATTATTACAATTTACTTAGGTGCATATAAAAAGAATTAGAATGTTTTATTTGCTTATTATATAACTTAAAATTATTGAAAATATTTTATAATATTTCAGATTGTTTTGTATCTAGGTTAAGCAAATAAACTTTTTTTTTATATTTCTTATTTTAAAAATATGAAAATATCTTTGAAATCAGGTCGAAAGGTCTGTTTTTGATATTTTGATATTTAATATAATATATTGCATTATAATAGGTATTTTAAGGTTGTGCTCCTAATTCTTAATAATAAAATTAAAGTTAAGATTATTTTGTTTTTTCTACAACCGCATTATTAATTTTTTTTTGTAAACTGCAGAATGTATAAGTGGGCAATATCCATAGATTCAATATCAGTCAACAAGTATAATGTCATATCCACACACGTCAAAATAATTCTTAGCTTATTAAATGAAGAACAAGGACTCGAATTATGAAAAAAAAGTAGTAGAAATCCCGAGGACGACACCCTGGTATGATCTGATGACATGTGAAATATTAAAACAATTACAAACTGGTTAAACTCGCTAATAAAGAGTGATACATGAAAAAAATGTTTCTTAATTAGGCCATGAATGACAGTCCAGTCAATTAAAAAAAAGAAGAATAATTGTACGCTTCAACATATGTGATTTTTTCCATGGCCCAATTTAGAAACGTGTTTTGTGGTGCAAACCATATAATAATCGATGCATTTCAACTACAATAGGTACCTACCATGGGAAAGTCTCTGAAATTATGATAAACAAACCTGGAAAACGCCCAAATGAAGTATAAACATATATTCCTGTCTTAAACTGTTCACAAAGCTTTTACTAAAATGATTGAACCCCATCACAGACAGTAAAAATACAGAGGGTTTCATTACTAAATATTTCAACTCAATCTATGAAGATTTAACCCAAATCACCTAGATAAAATGTGTCTCCTGTCTGAGTAATTATTCTCATATTTGGCGGGAAATGTAGGTACGATACACTCTACTAAATTATGTTAAATAAACTTTTAATAAATTTTCGGCTACTACCAGAGGCGTACGACAGGGGCAAGTGACTGGTTGATCCTTCCCAAATTCTATGCCACTGGCGGAATTGCAATGTGTTATGTGAGTGTTTTAGGTCATTGGATTGTATTTATTACGCAAATGAAACTTTAATCCATATTATTTCTCCATATTATGTAGATTATTTAGGAGAAACTGGACAATTTAGTGTAACAGTGGTATGGGACGACTGAAAATATTAACTGTGGATCAGGAGGATGATATTTTAGTGAGTGTTGCTGATAATCCTGAACTAAGAACTTGGCGTTTAGTTGCAATGACTGAAGTGAGCCACTCTTCAGTTTTTTCGAAAACTGAAAAAAGAAAATTTATGACCTTACCACTTTACACCAGTACAAAATTTATTGCCTAATATGACAATAATACGTCAAATAGTTTTAGACTATTGGGCTCAAAGTAACTCAGAAAGGAGACACATGTTATCCAGATGATTTCATATTTTGAGCTCAGGATTTCATAGTTGAAATACTTCCAATTAGTATAATAACATTTTAGAGTTATTAACCAGCACTATTGATCAAGTCCACAGAATAACGAATGAAATAGAGAAAGCATTGGAAGAAAAGATCTGTACTTTACTCTTTCTAGATGTAGCTCAGGCTATCGATAAAGTATGGTTAGAAGGCCTTGAATATAAAATAAACTCTACCTAAGCAATATTGGGACATCTTAAATTCCTACTTGACGCATAAAAGAAGAATATTTCACACCCTCAAGGCCAGTTCTTTACTTGTTTACCTTCAACATACCACAAAGCAAATTGTTAAAGTAGTCACATTTTCGGACGACACAGCCATACTTGCTATCGTTAAAACCACAGAAGAATCAACCACAAAACTTCAACATGCAACTAATAAAATCTACGAGAGCCGTTAAGCTCAACGAAACTAAAACAAATCAAACAAGGAAATAATTCCAATTCAAATGTGACTAAGCCGTAATATAAAATACAAAAATAAATCTCAAAGCCATATGTCACATAATACGAGAGACCGTTTCCCTCCTTTGGCTAATACCGTAACAGGCATTTAATTATAATTAAAGGAAAACAAAGATAGAAAACAATTTGCAACAATCAAACTTTAATTTCGCTTACTAAGGCGAACGTCATCCTTGTTCAAGTACATATATCATAAATAGAAATTGTAATATTTCTGAAAAATACTAGATACAATACAAATAGATTAAAAAAGTTGTTAGATGAAACAATGTGACAACAAAAATTCGTTTTAATAAAATACCTAAAACAAATTTAATAATGATAGTATACTGTTATAGATTTTTAAATTTAGTAGTTTTTCTTAAATAAATATAGTGTACAACTTGAATAGATTGCCCATATCATATTTAAAATTATTATTAACTGAAATATATTTGTATATTACCTGTAACATACAATTTGGCTCCACAAGGTACTATTTTATAATCTTCTTCAGTACGTAATACTGTCGATGCATGATATATTGTTTCTAAAGCACGTTCTCCAAATAAAGCACAGTCAAAAACTTCAGTTACTAGTAAATTGCATTTATCTGGCGGTTCTGAAAAAAGTTAATCTTCAAAACCATTAAATCAACATATGAACAAACTGGAATGAAGTAAATTGGTTTTATTAAAAAAAAACTGGTATACCATATACCTTCGATGTCTGTAGAATAACAGTGAAGTACTTTAACATTGGTAACTTCGTTTTTCTTTAGAATGTCTAGACACATATTATAAAGTTGCTTATTTTCTTCAATTGCTACGACAGAAGTGCCTGGCATATGGGCAGCTATGAGACTAAGTAAACCACATCCTGCTCCTATATCAATTACATTTCTATATCTAAATAACAAGAAATAACAATTTTATTATAAAATATCAATAAAATTATTTATTTTAAAGTAAGTTGGGGTAAGTGGGCATGCTAGTTTTTGTTTGATGATATCTTCTTAAGAACACTATATTATGTAAAAGCATATAAAAATCTATACTTTTTAAAAATAAATAATCCAAGGGGTAAACCAATAAGGTCAAAACGTACGCATATTTCGGAAATCACCTAAAATTGATCTTATATGAGTTCGATGATTTTGCCGAAATCCCCCTTAATTTTATACGATAACCTTTTTTACTCTTTCCTTGTCTTTCGATCCATAAGTTGCTGCATTTGTATTTTTGAGCGACGAACCTTAAGTAAATTTTGGGAATGATTCACCCCTCGAAATAGCCATTTTACATTTAGTTGTTTCAAAACTAGGTCCCAAATACCTCACCTTATCATAAGATATTTCATACAAACCCTTCTTTGATGATTGATTTAATAGCCGCTTCAAATGCCATATTTCGAGATTTGTCGTTTAACATCCTGAAATGCCATCTCGGTATCTGATGCCATTTCACATGCATAAGATTGATCTCGGCAGGTAGATAGTTCCTATTCACTTTCACTGCTCTTTCAAGGTAACGACGTGCTATGTCTATTTCAGATATTCTTAAAAAAATAATAAATACATTAAGAATTTTCGAATAAAATACAATATTTCAGTAATTAAATGTAATAAAAAACCAAGACAACTCATTCAAATATATCACTCTATATTCTGTTATATTTAACTGATAAATTCTCATATTTTTTTCCAAACCCATACATTGCACAATATCTGGTATTTTGCATTTGTATCGAATGTCTGATATATTATGCGAGTGTTTAAATTTCCTGGTAAAGCTAAATTGCTACTTTATGGGTATAGTAGACACGTAATTAGACAATAAGATCTATACTGAATAGTAGATCTAATTTGGCAACATTGATGATTTTGATTTAATTGATCATGAGCTTTTGTGTGCGAAACTCAAATATTACGATTGCTAACGTCGTGCGTCCATACCTGAGACCGACCCTGTTTTTTGTTGATCTTCACCGCTACCGTTACGCCTGACGCTGGCGATCGATTTGAATGTTTCTTTGTACGCAACCCAACGCTTGATAAGGAATTTTACGAACGCATTGAGATTCTTCTAGTCAGGATTGGTTTTTTCTAGGCTGTCACATTTTTGTATACAAGTGAATTCTTTTGCTGTGTTAAGTTTAAAATAAATGTTGTCGAGTATTTCAAGAATACTAAATTGCACGGAGGTTCATATGGCACATCATTTGAAAGTTATTCTTATGGATAATTCAGCCATATGACTATTCATTGAGTTACTTTTGTTTTTAGTGGGATAAAAACTGTTACTTATTGTAAAGTGGAACAAATTATTGGGTACATTGGTTTAAAAGATAAACATTATTATATGCCAGAAAAACATTACTAAGTAGTTTTTGTATTTTTCTTTATCGTCTTCTTTTTTGAGAGCTTTTTACAACTAACAAGAAGCTGATGAACCGAGTTGTTTACCTTTAACAGCTGTTTTGTCGAAAACTTGTTTTCCCTTTTCAAAAACCAGGGCACATAACAAAATATGAACATAAATAATTAAAAAATCATGCAGTTCTCTCTAACGTTAAGATATACAAATTTTAATCACAATCAACTAAGATATGAACGAGTCTGGTCGATATCCCTTTAAGATTATCTCCAATAAAGATTTTTTCTTTATCTCTAACAAATTTATTCTATGCATTAAATCACTAATAAAATTAGCTGTCAAATAAAGCATCGAACTTTATAATACGTAACAGTTTTTTGAAAGCAAAATCGACCTGTATCAGGGTTTTATGATAAAAAATATTTCAAATCAACTGTTTTAATTTTGCCAACCTATATACTGATTTTTAGTTTCATCTAAGTAGGTAAATAAATGCTCATAATAATAATAATAATCTTTTCCGTTTCCGACCGAATTCCGTGTCTACTATACCCTGTTTTTAAACTAAGAGGAGCGAATTGAAAAGACTCCTTTACAGAGGGAAAAGTAACTTTATTCGTTACTAAGAGCATGTTTTAAAAATTTATGTAATAGTTGTTATTATCGACTCTAGTCGGCGAACGGCCAATGAGAAGTTAAGGAACAAATAAATGTCATAGGAGTCGATGTTTTTATTGGTTCCATACAATGGTCGTAAATTTCATATTATTGTGATCTGAAAGGTGGATCTAAAACGAACTGTCACTGTCAAATGAAATTTAATCAGGCACTCCAACGACCTGTCAACAATAACTGCCAGTGGAAAGAACTCGTAAATCTAAGGGGGCTGCGACATAGCCTTCCATCTTGGACGCTATTTTTATTTGAAATAGTAGTCGCCAAACATGCCAATTGATAGAAAATGTATAAGTGTTTTTTTTTTAAATAATATTGTCATTGTATACGACATAAAATATTTAAATGTAATCCATTATTATTGATTTAACGTATTGTAGAGAGACTATATCGTATGTCGCAACCCTTTAGACATACCAAACCTTAGCATCGCATTTTATTTGTTTATGTTGCTTTTTAAATCGACTATTTGAGGGTTATAATTTTTTTTAAATTAATATTGAGTATTTATAAAAGAATATCAAGATGCAGGTTAAAATAAAACATAAAAATATGATCGATAGAATATGATATGATAGAATAAAAGAAAATTTACGAGTGGCTCTTGGGGATAACACATGGAAAATTCGATTTTCCTAATCAGAAAAATTTTCCGACCCAAAAATGCACTTATACATTCGGGTCATTCAAGAAAATATGTTTTTCGGACTAGTGACGACGTACGTTTTCATACATTCGATGGGCTTGTGTGGAAAAATTAGGCAAAATCTCGATTTTTCCTTAGAAGATTACGCCCTTATTTCAACCCTTTAGCCACTTGCAACATTAAAGCCTTTGGTTTTCCTAAGCCTAGTTCTATTAATTAATCATATAGTGAAAACGGCTTGCGTGGAAAAATGGGCAACAAATAACCTTTCGTTTTTGTTAGGAAAAATCGAATTTTCCATGTGTTAACCCCAGCAGCCACTTCTAAATTTTCTTTAATTCTACTTAAAATCGATGTACTTTTCAAACCTCTTCGAGGCTTGCGTGCGAAAATGGGGCACCTAAACCTGTCACTATCTGACGGACTATTATCTCTAATACAGTAGATGGTGTTTTAAATGTGAATTAATAATTTTATAAATGGTTTTATTATTTTCTAATAAATAAAATTTACTTGAATATTTATTTACTTTTTAATCGTTTTGGTAAAAAATTTATCAATTTTTAGTTTTAAAAAATCAGTAATAAAGTTGATAGTTTTTTTTTTAAATACTTGAGAATTCATCTTTTCATAGTAATTTTGGCAATCTTCCGTCTTTTTGCCTTTAAAACCAATAAAATATTTTCTAAAAACCTTCTTCATAATCAGCATGTAATATAATAAGTAGTCTTCCCTTCCTTATAGGGCGTTTCAGGAATAGCTACTCTTAATAGTACTTAATGAAGAAGGATCCATAATCGTAGAAATTCAATACAATTGCTTACTGAAGTTCTGAAAAGAACTATTATTTACGAAATATGTAAAAACTAAGTAATAATGATGAGATATCAAAATATAAAATGTCAGAACTGTCAACAATTAGGCATTCCAAACTGAATGACTACCAGTGGGTTTTGACAGGTTATGATGTGACAAAGTTATGGCAACTCTGTAGACCTGGTGATTTGACAAGGTGAGTGAAATAGAGAGTTACATAGATTGATCATCCCTATTTTTTAAAATAAACATAAGCTTATGCCTTGAAGTAAAAATATAAGCAATTATTATTTTTTAAATACCTAAAGTTTGAAAATTGGTTTTAAAACACATTTTTGCTAAACTGATTCAAATTAATAAATATTTGCCAGGCAATATGGCTGCTCGCAAACGACCAGCTTTGAGCAATGTATATAACATATATGTATCATTGACCCTGTTAATGCAACATGACAACAGGGTTGCCATATCTAAACTGTCAGTACCCACTGGTAGCCATTTGGACAGGTCGTTGGAATGCCTAATATCAATTATTAGCTGATGTTAATGCTAAAAAGTGATGTGTGAAACTGACTGGAATCTGACCAATCAGAAATCTACATAATTGCCAACTTAAATTCAAATCGCTCCTCCTAGTTTAAAAACAGAGTATAGTTTCTACTTAAAAATGTGCATTGTTTTTCGATTTTTCAAAGTATTTAGTAAAAGTTCAGAACATAAAATTTGTCTAAAAACGAAAAATTTCATATAGGTATTTTATGTATTCTTTTATTAAATTAAAGGTCAATTCTTTAAAATGTAGGGGTTGAATGTTAATTATCAATAAAAATTAATGCTTTATCTTCAATAACAGAATAAAATTGTTCAATGGAATAACATAAAAAAATAAAGGATGCTTTCATATCTTACAGATAACAAACCAAACTATTCATAAACTGATAATTAGGGTCATTTAAATTATTTAACATTTCTAAAATATATTCATAAAACGTCTGGATGGCCTCATTAACAGAAAATGCAAAAATTATTATAAATCTGCACTTGCGCACGAATTTAGTGAGCGAGATTTCTTATTGCTTACCAACTTTTACTTCTCTAAAATTTAGTTATTTATCCTAGATAATACTATCGCGCTGATAACATTGAAAATGTCAACTTCTAATCAAAAATAGAGGTTTTTAATCATTTTAAATTATTTGTGTATTATTTACTTAGTGTTAAATGGTCAAAAGACATTGCATTAATAATAGATTTGCCAAAAGAAAAAATAAATATATCATTAGGGTTATTAAACATGATTCAGCATAATATAAACTTGAAAAGTTAGATAATACTAGCAATAACAACTTGCAATTTGATCAATTATAGATAAAATATGTTAGTTTTATTGCATAAAAAAACGACCTCTAAACTTTTTTAATATTTAACATTCTAATGTTTTTGTTTTACAAAATAAATTTGTGATGAGATTCAGTTTAATGCATTAAAAATTAAACTTTTATAAATCTTTCTCAGAAATATAACATTAAGATGCTTTATTTCAATTGTACAATATACACTTCAAAAAACTGGCCACTTAATTGAAATGTATTGCTTGCAGCTCATTGATGGCACTATTGTTAAACTCTTTCATAAAAGTAGGGCCATCAACTTCATATGACAACGAACTTTTCGCTCAAAATGCACACAAGATTTTTCTGCGATCATATTATTTTAAGAACTAAATATAAAAACTGAAAATTTTTCGTAAGTTAATAATTAAAAAAGCATTTGATATTCAAAGTCCATGTTAACTTGGATAATATAACAAAAAACATCTAACTACGTACGAAAAACTTGAAAATCATTTACTAAAAAGAAATATTGTATTACAACTAATTTAAATTAGGTGAGCAACAAAGCTGTAAACTTTGTCGCTCGGCGAGTGACAAAGCTGTCACTTAATGTCAACGACATCCAGTTTTTTACTGTAAAAGGTACTGCTTATATCCACTAAACGTAATCTGTCACATGACAGTTTTAAAAAAAAATAATAATTATCTTTTTATAAAGGATGGTTTTTCTATAAAACGCCAAGGGTTTAGATCAGTCAATTTTTTACAGTAAGTAGATCCTATGAATTAATTATCATATCTACTAGTCATAATCTGTCACTCCTCTTAGTTTTTTTTAAAGTAATTCTCTTTTTATAAAGGGTGTTTTTTTATAAGACCGTCAGTGGTTTGAGACATCTAATTTGTTAGTAAACCCAGACCTTAAAAGGGCACCTTTTTTCCATTATTTGCTATCTGTCATACAGCAAATTTTTAAATATATCTTTATCTAATAAAAACTTTACAAACCACACCCTTTAATCAAAAATCGAATTATAAACTTTACTTTCCTATGAATTTACACACATGACAAATGAATATATTAATAATTTTAGTTGTGTGGACTTGGTTAGGAGGAGGGGATAGAGCACTGAGTTTGGGTGCCAGAAGCTTCGGGCGCTAAGTTCACACAAGTGATTAACAGCAGGTCACAACAGAATATAACAACAAATACATACATTTACAATTAATACTAGTTACTGAACATAAGTTAACATTAGTTTACTGATTTTATGAGTGTTCATCAAACTCAATGGGCAAACCACTCCTAATGTATTCCTGGACCTCTAACATAAATACCTATTCATGTATTATGTGAATGGCCATCACCTTGCATTGGTAGTAGACATAAATGTTTAAGTATTTCAATTACATTTGCAAAGAAAAATAATGAAGGTAAAGTCATGAATGGTCAATAATGGTCTGCATTTATCTCTATTGCTTTTTTTTTGCTTATGGAAAATTATAATGGAATCAGTTGCATTACCCCACAGTAATACACCATGACTAATATGCGAGTGAAATAGTGAAATATATACAGTTCTTAGAACATCATAACAGATAACATACTAAGCTGTCAAAATAGAAGATAATTTACTAGCATCATAATCAATGTGATTCCACCAATTTAATCTAATGTCTATATGAAATACTAAACGTTTAACCAATTCATATGGGTGATTTGTATTTTGTGTTGTAAATAAATTTTTTTGTGATTTTTCTTTATTCAGTTTGAGGCTATTACCAGCAAACCAATTCTGCCGTCCTTTGCTTAAAAGTGGTATCTGCCAAAAAAAAAATAAAGGGAGAAAATGAAGTTTAAAGTTAAATACCACTTTTAAGCTTCTTAATAATTGTGATGTGATTATTTTTAGGGCAGATATTTTTATTTTAAAAGACATTTACCACTTTTTAGCTATAAAAAATATGTAAAATGATGTGTTGTATGCATTAAGCACCATAACTCAATTTAGCATAAAATTGGAGATACCACTTTTTAAGCGAAACACGGCTGAATTGTGTACTGTTGTGTACATTTCTTGTAGTTTATACTTTGGCAATAAATCTTTTATAGTTTGTAAACTAGCTGAATGATACACAAACCAACCAATATTCATAGCTATGTTAATGGAAATTGATTTTCCATTTCTATACAACTAATCTATAAACTAACCAAGTAAACACTTTAACCCTAACATATATAAACTTTTAATATAGTTTTTATATTTGGAAGTACTCATACTGATGATATTGAAAACTATTGGAAATTGTATTTTCTCTAAAACTCCAGGGGGTCGATTCTCGACTCGGAATATTTTCCTATAATAATTTTTGACATTTTTATATACATCGAAAATGTATGACATTTTCCTACATATAGGAAAGTGTCACAAATTCCTATAGGAAAAGGTTCCTACAAGTCGAGAATCGACCCCTGATAGGTGTAAAAAAATTAAAATTTCAATGTGAAGCAGTTGTGACAAATTGGGTTGACTGAATTGTGTTATTAATAAGTGGCAATACAACACAGTGTGACATTTTAAAAACAATGGTGATAATAAGCACTCATATTACCCTTGATAATATAGGCATTTATCAACAGATTGTTAAAGGACAATAATTCTATTTTATTTTTAACACTAAATATCTGGGTAATCTTGTAGCTGATGGGTCTAGATTTTGTAATTATCACTATTGAAAAGTATTATTGACATTAAAAATAACGATCGTATTACTTGAAAATCTTTAGAACATTCTTTTATTTTTATGGGATTTTTAATAGACGTAAAAATTGGTAAATAGATGATTAAAAGTAAAATAGTTATTTCAATATGCTTATTCCCTGGTTCAAAATAATTAAATATAACCTGGCAACTATATGTAACGATTCCAACTGTCAGAACTAGCTGGAACAGGAATGGTGTGGACAGGTGCATTTCCAGACCCTTTAACTACAAGATTACCAAATATCTGTATGCCGATTAAAAACAGAAACTACTTTATTTACTTACTTATTCACAGTGCTCTAAATTAATTTTTACACCTTGTTTTATAGTAAACAAAACAATTAAATAATTAGAATTTAGGAGACAATAAGATATTTGAATATAGTTATGATACAAAGGCAATATGTTCCTATAACATTTGTTTCAATATTGTAGGTAATGACTTTTAAAATTATGTACTCACTTGAACATATAAGCCCCCAAATTATTCAATATAACATAATTATCAGGAAAAAGATTTAGAGCTTGAATATAACATTTAAGAAGTTCTTCTATATTGGAAGTTTCCTCCAGAACGGCTCCCATTTTACAAACAAGCTTCGTAAAAACTGTTTGAACTGCAGCAGTAGACTCTGAAGGATCATTTAGGCTTTCGAAATAGAGAACAAAGTTTTCATAGGCTTCAGCATAATCATTTTTAACACAGGCCTGTTTGGCCTTTTTTAAATAAAATAAACTATTGTTTTTCTTTTGATGGTCACCCAAACGAGGTACTCTGGATGCCATGGTCTTATATTTGAATTTGTATCTAATAATCTTGGTTTTTAAATTAAACAAAAAATATACTCCAATACATCAATCAGCAAAACTTAATAATCTGTCACTGTCACCGAATTAAATGCCACTGTCAAAGTCAAAAACAGCTGTCAGCAAGTGCGTTCAAATCATTTATGGGTTATTTATATGCTGCGTTCTGTGGCTGCGTTTGATACCGCGTTTGAATATCCACATCGGATGCATTTGAGATGTGAATTTTTTATCACGTGATAGAGAATTAGATCTGAATGTAGATGTAATAAACAAACGTTCTAGACTTTAATGGTCACGTGATAAAATACCAATGATAAGTTAGAAATTTATACTTTTTAAATTTGACTTTTAAGACTACAAATCAACCTAAATTTGAAATCTAAACAAAAATTAAACAAACTAATCACTTTTATATTCATGTTAGATGTTAGCATAAACAAAGGATAAATTGACAAACTTAGCTTCACAGAACACTTATTTTCTGGTATGGAACGAACATCTCATTTCAAATCGAGATGTAAAAAATGTAATCTGAATAGGTATATTTGAGATAAACAAACGCAGATGTAGATTGCCGCGTTTGAGAATCCACATCGGATGCATCTGAGATGTAATAAATCTTTGATCACGTGATTCAGTATACGTAAATGTAATGGGGCAGATGCGTCCGATGTAGATAAAAAAACGCTCGAGATGTAAAAAATGCATCGGATGTGGATATTCAAACGCGGCAATATTAGGTCTTTTCCTTTGCATTGAAAGTGTAACACTAAACTACATTACTTCTAAAATCGTTCCATTTATACAAATTGTATGGATGGAACGATATTTTCAAAAGTGGCGTAGCTCAGGGGTGCGTTCAGAAATGTAGGGTAAATGCGTTCGGACGTTGTCTAAATTCAATAAAGCGTTCCTAAATATGGAACGTTTTATCTGGACGAATTACCCCAGTCGTTCCTATTTAAAATAAAAACGCGTCGGGATGAAGAAATTTTACCCACCGTGTTGAGTTGGGTAATGTTTACTCGACTTGCGCAGTATGTCATAACCCCAATTAACCTAAGAGAACCACCTAGTATTTAATTCCCTATTTTTACTTTTTGAGTAAAAAATATTTAAATATGAGTATGAATGAGAGAATTAATTATATCAATTAGCGTATAGTTGTCGGAAACGATGGTAATTTCATTATAGAAAATGATAAAATTTTATGGCACAGTAAAAACGGTAATGAATTGAATTTTTACATAAAAAAGTATATGTGGACGTCAATGATGTTACCTATTTACTAATTTTTGATAATTCCTACAATCTCAGATAACAAAAAAGACATAACCAAAAACTTGATTTAACAATACTTGCACTTACCGTTCGTGTTTATCGGGCAAAAATAAACGTTCCGACGAATTTTGTCCAGACGATTGAAAATTTACGCACTCGATTTCTGAACGCACTACACTTTCGATGCAAAAGGTGAGTTCGGATAGTCAGGGGCTGGAGCGGGACAACAGTGGAGTTTTTTAGGGTGCTTTTAAATGACATTTAGGCGTGTTAAACTGTCACTACTCGGACTAAACCGAACGCTAAAAGGGTCGTTTGGAGTAAAAAGTGTTAAAGGAACTTGGCAAACCGAACGCAATGAAAGGAAAAGACCGCTGGCACTGCCCAGAAATTCGTTAAATTGACATTTGACTTGTGTCAAATTTAAAAAAATAAAGGGTGCACAAGAACAAGACAACAGTACATTTTTTTTACACTTTTATTTAATCTCTTTTTTCACTTTTTTTACGTTTGTGGTTGTGGTACGTTTATTGAGATGGACTGTTGAGATGGACACGGACACTGTAATTTCTGATGCAGAAAAACTAATGGAAGGTATATCTTTGTTAACTAACTGTATAGTACAGAAATTAAATACGTTTGATGGAAGCACTCAATGCAGCACTTCAGATTCATTAAAACGACTACAATCAATTCCAGAATATTCAGAAATGCTAGAAAATATTGAAAACAAAATTCCTTTTGAAAAAATTAAAGACACATGCCTGCGAAATACTGAGTATTTGAAAAAATTAAATGAGGAAATTGTAAGTTTTGTTTCCATACATTCAATGGATTGTTTTATTGATTTGCGTTTTATAGGAAAACTTAAAAGTAAAGCAAAAAGAATTAGAGAAAAAGAAAGTGCAAGTAGAAATGCATATCAACACCAGCAGACAGAAAATTTCACATCTGAAAAAAAAAGAAAAATATTTACAGGAAAAGCGGTAGATATACCTGTATATAGTTGTCTGAACGGCGACCTGACTATTAGATTTGTTTTAATTTTCTTAAAATCTCATATATGATATTTTTAGGGATGAAATTTTGGTTTATAAGTTACTCACCAATACCAACTTTAATTACAATTCTAAAAATATTAAAGGATGTATCCTTTTTTTATACAAGAAATAGGGGTCTATTCTGTAAAAATTCCTTTATATTTAACGGCCTTTAAAAATATTGGCGGCCTTTAAAAGTATATTTGTATTCGTTAATTTACTTCTGTCATTATTTAAACAGATTTCTTTAAGATAGTACTCTAATGTATTTTAAAGATCCGTTTAAATAATGACAGAAGTAAAGAAGAAAATATTTTTAAAGGCTGTTAAATATAAAGGAATTGTTACAGAATAGACCCCATAATATGCTAAATATTTTTTTAATAGGTTTTTAAATTTTCCTTAACAGACACATTTAGACATTGTAGGGGAAAATCCTGAGAGTATTAAATGTTTCGACTTTAAGCTAAAAAAACAGTCTCAGAAAGAAATAACTGAAAACTTATATTCACTCATAAAGAAAGTACATATGAAGCCACTTTCAGAAAAAGATCTTAATATGTAAGTGTTGGTAAGGAAATTTGTTGAATAAAATTGTACACATATAATTTAAAAAGAATAAATAAATTATACTTTATGTTCTTACCTTTTTTTAACAAAATATAGGTATCCATACTTGTGTTGTACTCAATCTTTTAGAATTGAGAGAAAGCTTGATAATATACAGATATAGGTAGGGAAAATAAATTTAATAAAAGGACTAAATTTAATATATAATTAATCTTAAATTAAAATAATTGATTATACCACCATACACAAAAAAACTACTTATACATTCTAAAAACATTTATTTATAAAACGATTCCCTTGTTAAATTTGTATGAACTAATTTATAAAACACCTATTTTTATATTAAATATGTATACCTACTTAATGAAGATATTATACTTATGAATAATAGTCGCACTACTAACTATTGCAAATGCTACAATAAACAGTATAAAAACTATCACAGCTAAAATAGAGACTTGAAATATAAGGGAATAAATCACATAGACAACACCTGCAAAAAAAAACATTAAATTGTGTTTAAAAGGAATAAAAGGCATATTTACATTAGGTTTGCTCCAACAACGATCAGAAACCAATCATTGTCACCAGGATTCTGCACAGTAGATTATTAGGACCTCAAATTATATATTGAGCAGAATCCTAGTGCCAATGACTGGTTTCAGATTGTCGCAACAAACCTATTATAACTACTTGAAAACAAATATCTACTCAAAAACCTTGATTAAAAACAACTTCGTAAAAATATATTTTGAATAGATTATATAATAATATAAAATAGGAAGGATAAGTCCATTAAGTCCCACTATTTAATACTTATTAAAAAGAGCAAACTGAACACCTTAAACAATTTTAAATACCCTTAGAGTCTTTAATTTTAGTTTTAATAAATATGGAGAATAATTAAAATTTCATATAAGGTGGTCCAAAAATCCTATGGCTACCTACAAACCTCAAAAAAAAACCCATTGGGTCCTATGATTGAACGTTTACGTTATACGTAATGTACATGTTAGGCCGAGTTTTAACAGTAACGAGGCAAGTTCGTATGATGGAAAACTTTTTCCAAAACACTATTGTTATTTTCCGCCTGTTATGTTCTAATTTAAAAGTTTTCCAACATACGAACTTGCCTCGTTATTTTTAAAATTCGGTCTAACATGTACGTTATGGATAACGTAAACGTTCAATCATAGGACTCAATGGGTCCTATATATCGTCCTCGTATTGAACAATATTGTCATTTCCTAATCTATGCAGATCAGCTGTGTAGATGTTGTAAAGTAAGTGACTTGAAATGGACCTCTGTGGTAAGCCATTGTATACAATGTGTGGACCGTGTAATACATTATTATTATCTCTAATGTAAATTTTGTGATTACTAAATACATTATTAATTATATTTGCTGCAACTTTTTTATCAATACCAATTTTAATCAGTTAGATCAATAAACATAACATATATTGTGAGAGTGTAGGCTTTCACGGCCAGCGTCAATGTAATTGTTTTTGCCGGGCTGTTGTGCCGTGGTCATGGAGGAAGGATTATTAAGAGTTGCCGTTTCTTTGTAGAAATTTGGCAACATGTTTGCTTGCAACGACCTGTGGGGTGGAGGAGTAGAACTAATCTTACTCTGTCGGTAATGTAGTTACCAGCAGTATTACCATCAACTCTTACTCTGTCGGTAATGCAGTTACCCGTAATTTTATATTTAATTTGAAAATTGGCGGGTTTTTTTAAAGGAGAATTTACTTTTGCAATTATTTTCTAACTAATACGAAATATAGCCATACAAAATTTTGATAGTAATTTTTTTAATTTTTTAGTGAAATAAAAAACATGTACGTGTAGCTAAAATATGTTCCTCTGGAGCCACTTTTTCAAAATTTAATCAAATTTTGATGGCAATAAATCGCAAAATCTTGTTTTTATAAAGATTTCAAAAATTGAGAAAATAATTAAATCAAATTTCGGAATAGTGGCTCCAGAAAAACAAACATTTCACTTTTACCTGAAGGTATATATTTTTCATTCACTAAAAAGTAAAATTAAACTATAGAAATATTTGTGGCTCTATTTCGTATTGTTTAGAAAAAGATAATTGCTTAAGTAAATTTTCCTCTTAATTATAATTAAAATTTTCCTGTTTTATTAGCTGTTTGTAACAATTATGAAATGCCCAATAAAAATGTAAAATTCTATGACAAATAATTATGAGGGATAAAATAAATATCATACAAAGTTTTATATAGTTATATTTACTAAAAATTCCCAAGAAAAATAAATAAAAAATATATCAAAGAGATGGCAATACAAAAAAATATTTTTCATATACTTCACTCCCATACAAGCGAGCTTATGCGAAGCAAGAATGTCTATTATTATTATTATTTACTATGGCGCTCCCGGACGTCTTATAAATGATTATTTAAGAAAGTTACTCTAATATCACAAACATTACATTACTATTTCGGTACGTTAACTATCTTTGGCTAACAAAAATCAGAAATTGCCTAACAAATTTAATTTACTTGATATGAAAACTAATGCCTAAGTAAATAAATTTTTAAAATAAACAAAAAACAAAACAACAAATTCTTCTTGAATCTTAGGAAATCAGACAAAAGCAACCATCCATATAAACTGAAACAGAAAAAAATTAAATGCAGTAACTTCAAATCATTTTGTTTGTCTTTTAGACATTGCAGCAGCCCTCATACTATCATTATAATACTTTCTTATTATTAATAGTAGACAAGTTTCAACTAAATGAGAAAAGACGTCTCTTTTATGTTCTTTATATGTAAACCAGGGACGGCTTGTGGCCTAGTCTGTGAGGAAGCTGGCTCATCCTATATACTTTATACAAATATATATATTTCTATTAGAATACAATGTAATATTTCTGCTTTTTGAATTCTTATAGACATATTAAGTATATAGGGTGTGCCTTTTAAAAGTAGTCTCCTCATAGACTAGGCCACGAGTCGCCTCTGATGTACCTAAACCATTTAAAATCAACATGGTCTGGCAAAAAAGTTTAATTATTTGAATTATGTTGTCAATATGACCCAAAAGTTGTGAAACTATTTCAAGAATTTTTGAAAGAAATTCAATAACATTTCTTTGTACATAAATAAAACGTCTTTTATCATAATTTTCTTTAAAATAAGTAAAAGTATCGATGGTCTTCTAACATGTCTGTAAATTAACTTTACACTCTTTGCAGTCAAAACTATTAAGTTTCTTAATAAACCCTGCAACATAACTAGTGGCCTGACTCAAATTCTGCTTCATTTATTAATTTTGTATATATTATTAAAATGAACTTTATCCACACAGGACTCTGTTTGGAGGTGTGATAACAATATTACTAAGTACTACTATCTTTGGTGTATCTGGTTTTGAGGATGCTAAAGCAAGGTAAAGCAAATCTTTTAGCAGTCTTGAACGATTTGTGTTTGTAAACAATTTTGTATCAAAATATAATTTTCACATAATGTATAATGATTGGGGTTGTAAGTGGAATGTTTAAAATACGACACCATTCCGTTCTTTGATCAATATCAGAAGGAAATTTAAAAATGTTTGTCCTTAAAATTTACGTTTGGAATGGGCCTTATAAAACGTACTATAACAATTGAAATTATGCGTTTATAATGAATTCTGTCTGGTAAAGACATGTTAAAGCATCAAAATACCTTTACTTGATTTTAAATAATCCTAAATAACTTATATCTAAAAAAATAAAAGTAGTTCCACTCACATGTTTTCGTCGACAACCAAACACATACTTATAATAGGTATACGGAGCAAGAGAGACGTCCGACCTGTTTAACAAAGGGGCGGCCATTTTTATACAAGATTACTAGTACATAGGTGACCAGAAATACAGCAATATGAAAACTTGGTTGCAGATGTCTAGGTCTTTTCACTTTTAAATACATCATTTTGTACAGATTTTTTAAAAGAAATAATACAATATTATATCTGAATTAAATTTTTATTCTACAACAAAAAAAATATTTTAATGTTTAAAAATACATGTTAGGCTGATAAATAATAGGCCGACAAATAATAGATTAAATACTTAAATACTAATTTTAAATGACAAAAGTACAGTAGAGGAAGTTAAAAATATTAAAATTTCCATTATACTTTATAATTAAATTGATGGTTGCATATTTGTTTTATTTTAAACAATTTACTTTCTTCTTGTATAATTTCTAAAAGCTACAAATTTTTAGTGAACGGGTCGTCCTTATCGATTCTGCAGTGAATTGTATTAAAAACTTAAAATAAATTTTGTCCAATCTCTATATGGCAGATAACCACAATAAGGAACGATCTGCTTGTTTTGGAACTCTAAAATAATATAGACACTTCTTTCATATCCTTTATTTTTGCTAAATTTTATTACTTACTTGTGGAATGTAACATTTGAATCTATTTGGCAACAGTCTTCTTATGTTCTTGCAAGATCTTACAAGACAAGACATCTTGAATAAAGCCCAGTATAGAGAACTTATACTGGGATTAAAGTCTATTCACAAATGTTAAAATAAATAAAACGTTTATACACTTAAGAAAATAATATCCACAATCAAAATATTCTAAAATAACACAAAAAAATTTAACCAAATTCACAAACATATTAAAATTTGACACTTTTGACAAATAAAGATAAATTGGTTGCATAAGTTTCAGTTTGTTTATATAAAAATGGCGGTCATTTCTATCTTCTTTTATTAAACACTCAGTAAAGATGCGCAGAGGGTTTTACGCCGTATACCTATTTAAGTATGTGCAACCAAATCATAACATAACCACACATTTGTTTAATTTTGATGTTATTTGTTGACAGCGCGCGCGGGGCCCGCTATAGCGGGCAGCCAGCAGTCATGCAGCGGACAGAAAGCCATCTTCACATAGTACAAATAACTAAGTGAAGGTATGTTTTTTTTAGTTTGTTGTAATATATGAATTAAAATTTTTGAAACAACACTTTTTGTGTGTTACTGAACGAGATGTTATTAAATTAATCAATGTGCTTTACATTTTAATACAATTTTGCTATTGTAAAACGGACTTCAGAGCACCCAAGCGCGGAGGAGTATGCGCAGAAACGTGTTTACGTATTGTGCATATGATATAAACCCCCGTGGCCGTGGTCTTTCTTGGTTATTACTACCAAACGTTTCAGCTGCAACCGCGGCAGCCATCTTGGACGAAGTACTATTCTCGACGTATCAATTAAAACTGAATTCTCCTTCGCTCCGAGTGTGGTATTTATATGCTTGTCTACGCGCTCTTTTTTGGCTTGACGTACTAGGCGGTTTTATTTTCGCCTTTTTAATGATGTTTGCAAGATCGTAGGTAATGTTTTTAAGTTAACGACCGTAACGAAAATAAACCTAACACCCCCCACTCCAATCGGCACAGCGCCAGCGGTGCGGCGTTGAAAGCCGTGCATTGTCTAACGTCGTTTCAGTTCGGCAGACTTCGGCACGTTGTTTGTATGCGTGCGACTAGACGTATGCGTGTAGACTAGCTGCTAACTACTCATAACTGAATCTGGGGTCTATTCTGTAACAATTCCTTTATATTTAACGGCCTTTAAAAATATTTTCTTCTTTACTTCCGTCATTATTTAAACGGATCTTTAAAATACATTAGAGGACTATCTTAAATAAATCTGTTTAAATAATGACAGAAGTAAATTAACGAATACAAATATACTTTTAAAGACCGCCAATATTTTTAAAGGCCGTTAAATATAAAGGAATTGTTACAGAATAGACCCCTATATCTCTTTTAGACACAATTTCGGAAAAATTGAATTTGAAAATGAATAATTATCCACAAGAATCCACAACAAAATATGGGACAACCATTGACGCGGTATTTTCCAGATATAGGATATCAAGTCTCAAACTTGTTTCTTATTTCAGTTACCATAAACCTATAGTTTAAATGATAAACATTCCTGAATAACCTACATGTATTGTAAGATAATAAAAATATTTTAAACAATATTAACTTCTTATTTATTCAATAAAAGAAAAAAAATTGTTTTCTTATCGGTCACCACGCTGAAAAAGTGTAACTTGAATTAATATCAAAGAAAAAAAAAATACTGCATAAATAAAATAAATAATTATAATTGCATAAGTTGATAAAAAATGCTATGCAATAGCTTTACCGCGGCAGTCCCCGAGTGCCACACGTATTTTTTCTTTCTTTTTGTTGAAGTTCTTTTGATGTTTATGTATTTCTATAGCCTCCAATTGCAATCTGGCCGAATCATGTCTTGATGTTGCTAGTAAGTATTTTTGAAAAGGATCTTGAGTTCTCTATCGGATAATAGTATTTGAGTATCACCTTAGAGCTTAACGACATCCTAGTCAGCTTCGACATCATCTCTTTATTCATTAATGTGCCACTCGGAGAAGTAGTCAGCTACATAGGAGAGTTTTTTCAGACCTCGTCAATATTTTTCTACACTCGCTCACGACATCATATTTCCAGTGAAATCAAATATTCTATGAACAAATTGACGGAGTCGCTATGGGCAGCCCACTCAGTCCAGTTGGAGCCAATTTTTAAGTGGAAAAATTTGAAGAGAGCTATCTGAACGGCTAAAAAACAACTAAAGCATTGGCTGAGGTATGTAGATGACATTTGTAATCTGGAGCCACGGGAGAAAAGACCTCCTGAATTTCCTAAACCATCTGAACAGTTTTCACCCTAAAGTCCAGTAGAATATATTTTTAATGTTAAATCGTCGTTTTTCCCGTCACAGAAAAAAATAGTGAATTATGCACGGGAAAACTATTAGATTATAATACTTTTTTCCTTTATATAACTATTAATTTAGGATATATTTTAGTAATGTTTCATGTGTTAATATTTGAAAAAAATAATACCTATATTTTTATATACACATTCATTTTCTCACTATAACCAATTTGCACATGAATAATAGTACATTATATACCTAGGGTGAGAAGTGAGCTATTATTTACCGAGCACTTTTATATCCTGAGGCGCGTAGCGCCGAGGGATATAATGTGCGAGGTAAATAATAGCTTTCTCAGCCGAGGTATATATAGAATTTTTTTTACTACTAACATTAATATATTAGCAATTTTAATTTTGACATAAGTAATTTCCTAACAATTTGTTAAATATTTCGAAATATCAAGCAGAGTGGAGCGTGTTTCTAATCACACTGGCTTTATTTATGTAAACATTTGGCATGTGTCAAATTTTGATATGATTCCCATTGCATTTTTGATATTTTAGTGACATGGATTTATTGGTATTAATTAATAATTTTTGAAGCCTATTACCGTTGTTGAATTTCCTAGTTAATATATATTTTTACTATTAACACTGATATAATCATATTTGATTTGATTAGATTTTAATAAACCCAGCTTTAGTTATTTCCTACTTATTTTTCAAATATTTCAAAATATCAAGTAGTCTGGGAGTTTAGTTGTCAAATTAACAAAATGAAACTAATGAAATTTAGTTTCATTATTTACCTAGGTATTTTTTTATTATCATTATTTACCTAGGGTGAGAAATATTATTTCTCATTAGAGGAATGGAGTAAATAATGGTGATTTCTCATGTTAGTAGTAAAAAAAGATTATTATTATCTATTTAAGGATTTAAATACTAACGACTAGCCAAGGACAGTGAAGTACTTCCATGTTTGCCCATTTTTGCTGAACCCTAAAGAGAAACATTCCCAAAGCAAAATATAGTAGAAAATCATAACTTTTTCCACCCCTTCAGATTTTTTTTTTCAGGAGTCCCGTTTGCTCTTTATCCGTAATCAAATTTTGCACAATTAAAGCAAAAGGTGAAACATTAAAACAAAGGATCTAGAAACATTTAAAGAAGCTGTGTAAACCCCGACTAAGCTGTTTTATACAAACCTTTGGTGGCCAGAGCATTGCTAAGATCTAATAAAATTGTTAACGGCATTAAAGCTGTAACCGTTACAAATGGCAATACTGCAACGCAGACGCTGATTACCACTGCTAAAGTCGTTGCTGGTCTTTCGGCACTAAATGTCCTTAAGCATGTCCTAAGAAGGCCTATACATCTTTGTGTCAAGTCTGAAATATAGAAAAACGCATATATACACTTATAAGTAAAAAAAAGTAAATAGGTCTAATCCTAATATTCTTTTAATGTAGGTATTCAAAGTTTTTAAATTTCTCTTTTAACAATTTAGTTACCAATGAAATATTCCATTTTTATGCATTAATCATATCACTAAGATATTTATGCCATGTGTATTTGTTTATTAAATTGCGTCTGATATCTCTCATTCACAGAATGTCCGGATGAAATGATGTACTTAACAAATATGATTATTTATTATCTTATCTGTGTGAATATGAATACAAATTTAAAAAAAAAACAAAATTGTATCACTTACTGATTATTGTTATAATATCCATTCTTACGAATTTAACACCTACCTATATTATTACTTAACGTTTATTAGTGGATTTTTTTTTTTCATGAATTAATCAATTTGGAGTTTGACTTTGCTTATCTACTACACGAACATTCAATTACACAGGTATACTTTAATGCATTCAATGTTTTTAAAACTATTTTTTTTAAACAATTCAGTTTTAATGTTTATTTAATATTTTGTTGACTGTGAATTTTTAGAGATTTTGAAATCACCAGTAGAGATTGGAATGACATTAACTAAGTTTCTGATGATACCAGTAACCTACTTTGAATACAAATTTAAACACATAACAGGTTTGTTATTAAAAACGTACTTTTAACGACAAGTAACCTTGAATTGTGTAATTAAATGTAAATTGTTTGAAATATACAGGGTCCACTCAATTTATTGATTTCCATTTCAATGTATGAAGTTTTTGAAAAAATATTATTTCTACATCCACATGGATATAAGCGTCTACGCACAGACTACAAAACGAACAAGTATTAAAAATTACAAAAAACCGACTTCAAAATCGTGCAGATGCCATCACCACATCTTAACCAAATATATATGGGACCACCCCTGAGGTACCCCCTTACTAACAAAAAAAAGTCATAGAAATCGGACAAGGTGGTAAAGAATTATCGCTAAACATACATAAAAAATGAAGAGTGAGGATTTTCTGATGGTTCCAATTATTAGATTTTGACCAAATTTATATGGGACCACCCCTGAGGTACCCCCTTTCTAACAAAAAAATATAAATCCGACAAGGTGATAAAGCATTATCGCTAAACATACATAAAAAATGAAGAGTGAGGATTTTCTTATTGACACAATTATTAGATTTTGACAAAATTTATATGGGACCACCCTTGAAGTACCCCCTTTCTAACAAAAAAAAAAAAGAATCATTGAAATCGGACACCGTGTTAAAGAATTATTGAACATACATAACATTAGTTTTCAAAAAATGTCTGAATCTATACAGGGTCCGCCTGAATACACAAGTCTTAACAAATTATTATTTTACCCGTATTAACCCTACGATACACAGACTAACGGTATGCTGACTTGATTCAAATTTCTGTGGCGATATAGTTTATTTAAAATACTATTTACAATTTATTTACGACGTACTAATTAATTTATATAATACTAAGGCACTAACTCACAATTCTAATTTATTTATTACAATTTATCTTTTCAGACCAATACTTTACTCTAAACTACTCGTCCGTCGATAAGTCGCGCTATTTATACCTAGTCCAACTCTGTACAAGAAGCTTCTAGACCAGCTATACTCAACCTGCGGCCCTCCAAGCTTTTTTTGCGGCCCGAAACACTTAGTGCTTTTTCAAACTATAAGTTTTAAATGAGTTTTAAAATTTTGAGCAAAAACATTCATCGGTCACTGCGCTAAATAGCACGCTAATTTTTTAAATAAACATTTGTCGAGGGGTTGCTGCATAAAACAAGATAACTCCACTTTTGCCATTTTCGAGTTAAGTACACTTTCGTCTCCAAAATAGTTCAAATAATACACGGCATAAAAAAGACAAGTGTGAACAAAGTCTATTATCACGATAAACAGATGGTCAATTAAAACTTACTCCATATTAATACATTCACAATATGCACAAACAAGATGAGTGGCATTTGTACCGAAACAAAATCATAACATTGCTAACATTGTATCTACTAAAACCAGATAAGAGACATATAACTTATTTTTGCTAAATATATTTAGTCCGATTCCTAATAGTGTTTCTGCCAAACAAGATAAAGACCTGAATACTTATTTTTGTTGAATGTTCGCGTATTTATTGAAATAGTTTAACATTTTGCTGAATCAATTTGTTATGTTTTACCTAGAACTGTCTCTGGATTTCTCGACAATGTGATTACGTCACCCTTTCTTTCTGCGATACAGCTAACCTTCGAAAACCGACAGATAATAACATTGATCAAGCTGTGTAGGGGTAGCGCCTTGTGCACTTTCCTTCAAATCTCCTTGACGTCAAATAATCCTTTTTTTTGACGAGCTTGGTATGACTTTGACACCCGTGACTTTGACGTCAGATAGTTCATTCTTTGACGAGCTTTCATTTTGTCAATGACATTTTATTTTGTTTTTAAGACGGCACTTGTTTCAGAGCGACACATTTCTCACAGTCATTGCGTTCGGTTTGCCACGTTCCTTTAACTCCTTTAACACTTTTAACTCCAAACGACTCTTTTAGCGTTCGGTTTAGTCCGATTAGTGACAGTTTAACACGCTTAAATGTCATTTAAAAGCACCCTAAAATTTGTCCCGCTCCAGCCCCTGACTGACCGAACTCGCCTACTAGGAACCTACATGGAACCTAAAAGTTCGATGGCATTGGGCAGGCGGCTTTAGTTTTTGATTTTCTTAAAAGGGGGCGAGAAAACTAGGGAAACAAAAGCGGTTCAACAAAAATACTAAGAAAAACATGACGTTAAAAAAAATCGAAGCATTATTTTTGATTTTTATTCAACCACCTTGTTGAATTCATTTTTAAATAAACCTAAGAAAAAAAAAACAAATTGTCTTTTATAGGGAACTAGCTACGGCCTCTGTAAGCTATACCGAGCGAGGCGGAGGAGGGTCAAAGGGATGAAAGGGTAAAAAAGGCTCTGGACACTTACAAAAAAGAAATACCCAGACAGCACACCAAATCCTTTGGATATCTACTGAACATCCCATATCCACCGAATGTCCAGTCCATGGTAGATATCTATTTTATATCCTTGAAATGTAATTTATATAGACATGCAAATGTCCATAAATAATAGTAATTATGTAGCAAATTATTAAAAAATTACGCCATTGTGGCTAATAGTACCGTTCAGATATTTAAAATTAATTTTTTTAAGGTGTATTCAATATCCCATGAACATCTACTAAATATATCAAAGTCTAGGCGCGAACGCAAACCATCGTGGATATCCACTAGATGTTATTTGATTCTGCTTACTAAGTATAGATGGCGATACCACTATCGCATCTACTCATGCTCGACTCGCCGTAATTGAGTTCGATCGAAATGTGTGTCCTAATAACTCCATTAGAGACTGGAGTCGAGCATTTTCATTTATTGCTGAAGAGACCTAATAAGGATAACTTTCTCCTTAGTGGGCAAAATCAAAGGCAGAGTGTTGAAAATATTTTGAGTGTTGAAAGTATTTTTTATCTCTGCTATTTTCTTTCGACGTTATTCAATAATCATTGGTTACTTATGAACCTCTACTAAAGATACCTATAAAATATTTTACTGAATATTCGAATATCTTCTATATCCTGTGATATAGACGGACATTTGGTTGGATATCCATATTGGCAAAGAATACCTACCCAAGAAGCGAAACTAAATGGGCGATTCGTGGACAAAACACTGACAAGTTTTCTCAGTGTTTTAGAGGTGGTTTAACGTCAAATATAGCTGTCAATTTATGTAAAGCAACGTTTGGTATATTATTGTTAGCGTTTTGTAAAAATTGCAGTATAGTTCAGTAGTTGTATTTAACTAAGTAGTAATTAGAAATTTGATAGTTTTAAAATTTGTATTACATGAAAAAAAAAATACATTGTGGTATTCGTAAATTTTATTGAACGTTCTTGCATCTGGCTGTCAATCTTTTTTTTTTTTATTTCTAAATCAGTATTACCTATAAAGTTAATTTACGCCTACGTATTATGCATAATTTAATTTTTTTAGTCTTTTATTTAAATATGTTTTTTTTTTGTTTTTCAAACCATTCGAATTAAAACAGTAAATAAACAATAATACCAGACAATAATTAAAATATATGACAAACTCACTTCGAGGAACCAAGTCGCTGCTATCAGAGGATGCAATCGAAATTCATTTACAGCTACCTCCAGTACTTCTTGATATGTAACATGTAGAGGGTGCGGGTACCCCACGGCAGTTAAGCTTCACTAGGCCCATTTGGTATCCTAAAAGTATAGGCACCTCCTAGCTCGTGAGCCAGCCTACAGATTTAATGTAGTTGACAACATCTCTGGGATTTGGTGTGTTGTCTGGGTATTAACTTAAACTTTGCAAATCAGATGCTACCTGATGATTATCACCAATATTATCACAATCTACCTGTATCTAAAAATAATGTTAGGTACGGTACCTGAATCTTTCATTAAACACACATTGAATATTATGACCTGTATGTATTATTTTTTGTTCAATTTTAAACTGTTGAACAGCGTTTTCTCGAATCTCTAAAAATGTGAGTTATCTTGTTTTTGCAGTATCCCGACAGGATATATTGTTTTTTTTTTTATTAGAGGTCCCCACTAAACAATTTTAAGTGAGTGGCCTAAAAAAAGAGTCTTCATCTAAAAATACTGCGGCCCGTGCAACATAGCAAACGTACGAATGTGGCCCAAGGGAAAAAAGGTTGAGTATGACTGTTCTAGACGATGTCGAATGTCCTAGAATTGCATCTCTTTGACTCTACGGCACGTATCGCTTGTTCTTGTTGTTTCTCAAGAAGTGGTGGGTTTGTTTCTATACGTAAAGCGGTGTTTCGATCATGAGTCGGGTGGCAGACTTGAAGGTCGCTTGCTAAACAGGGTTGGCTCCGCGTCACATTTTGTTCTAACTGCGCAATGACGGATGACTTAGTCATTTTGATGTTTTTCGACTGACAAGTGTAAAATAATTGAATTGCGTTAGGACCGATTCCACCGTTGTGTTAAACGAAGTTTAAAATGACATTTTTACATTAACAATGTCATTTTAATCTCCGTTTAACACAACGGTGGAATCGGCCCTTAGTAGTGTAACTATATATTTTTTTCTACAATCACTATCCAAAGTAGGCGCTTCGAAATTCAACCGCAAAGTTGATGTTTTCCCCGAACTGACATTAAGTGACAGCTTTGTCGATCGCCGAGCGGAAAACTTGACAGATTTGTGGCTCGCAATATTTAAATTAGATATAATATAATAATAGTTCTTTTTAATAAATGATTTTAAAGTTATTTGTACAATGTAGCAATGACTTTGAATATCAACTCCTTTTTTCATGAATAACGTAGGCAACACATTATACATTACTTATCACAAATTCTCAGGTTTTATATCTATTTCTTAAAATAATGTGATCGTAGAAAAAATATTTTGTGTGCATTTTGAGCGAAAGGTTGGTTGCTGCTCTCTACAAATTGACACTGTCCGCTACGCGTCACGCGGCAACATTTTGTCTCAAGCGGCAAAGTATCACTTTTCGCTCTTAATATACAAATAGCTATTGCTAAACATAACAAAGAAGAACTGAATTAATGTTACAAATGATGGACTATACAGTTGCCACTTGTAAAAACCATAATATGAAAACTAAACGTATAGTGATATATGATTAGTATGATATTTTCGATTTTCACAAAATTTTGAAAATTATGAAGACACTTCTATTTAACAAAAGCCATTTTGCTGAGCCTGTATATTAAAGAAGAATAAACACTTTCTGATGAAATTATCATTCTTAATGATAAATTTGAGAAAGTACATTTAGATGCCTTAAAGGATATGAAGCTTTTAAATTTAAAAATAAATATCCAACTTTAAGAATACCCACAAAGCAACTAAATATTTCAGAGGCTCCTCAGTGGTTGCAAACACTTTTGAATGAATCATTAATTAACCCTGTACAAGATTTATGGAAAGTTGGACCTTATTAATAAGTATAAAGACAAGAACATTTTTAAAATTTTAGCAGATAAAACTGTAGCTTCATGTCCTTTTTAAAGTAAACCTATGCATGAATAGGACACGAACATAATTAATTATTCTCCGTATTATCATAACTACCTAATTGTTCTAGTTTTGTGCTAAAATAGCATATTTAAATTTACCAATTTTAAAAAGTAATTTTTCGTGTACTTACACTTTTTGGCAAATAAATAATTTGTTTCTGTACACATGTGCCTATTTTATTTCACATAATAAGAGAAGAGAGGATAGGAGTATCTTAGGACCGATTCCACCGTTGTGTTAAACGAAGTTTAAAATTACATTTTTACATTAACAATGTCATTTTAATCTCCGTTTAACACAACGGTGGAATCGACCCTTAGTAAAGTATTTTTAATCTATATTCTGTAATCAACTTCTGTACGTATCTTATGACTAGGGTAGGCATTTTATCACAAAATACCTATAATTTATAGAATTATTTACCTTAAACCTTCATAGTTGTAAACAAATATATTACAAAATAAACCAGAAACTTTAAGTAACTAAATAAAACCTAAAAAAAAAATAATATCGAATTTCAAACACTATTTCATATCATGCTAATAAATCTACGTCCCATGTGACGTCACCGTCAGTCTGCTGCATGCGCAACAACATATCATGAGTCTGTGTATCGTGATTAACTCTACATAGTAGTTCTACGATTACTTTGTTTAAATTAAAAATGGTTGTTTATAATACTATAATACTAATTAAAACTTTTGCTATTGGAAACATTTAAACCCAAAGAATAAAGATTTTGCATATATAAATATGCATAAAATTGCTATTTTATTTACCATAGATACAAAAATGGTATGATTAATGTGTGATCCTAGTGAAAACCTTTTGTAACTATTATAGTAAAAGAATAAAAAAAAAGTTTCAGTTCGTCCTTATGGATAAGTAATACAGCACTAAAAGAACACCCACCTGATCTGGTAAAACAAGAAATATAATAAAAATGGCCATAAATTTCAGAATCACTTCTGTCAAATATTAACATTGTTTTATGCTTTCTACTGGTCATTAAAGTTACCTTTAACCAACTAATTTCATCGATTTAGTCACATACGATACATGCATTGTTCAATTATTTATAATAAAACAATGAAATATGAAATAAATTGTAAATGTTTATTTCAAATAAATACATTAGTCTTAAATTAGGAACTAAACATACAGACAACATAATACAACCATTAATATACAAAATATGGTTTTCATTGCATATTATCAACAATATTACACATAATCCTGTCCAGAATGTAGCAAGGATCTTGATTACTTTCTGAATTTTCGTTTTTCTCACTTTTCATCAATAGATCAGCTTCAATCATTATTTTTGAATCTAGCTCCATTGGTTCTGGTAAACTTTGAATAGCTTGTTGAAGAATGTCCATTACTTTGTCCAAATGTTTTTGAAATCTATTAAAAAATTCAACTAATATATAAATGCCAAAGTTTGGATAGATGTTTGTTGCTCAATCACACAAGAATGGCTGAACGGATCTGGATGAAATTTGGCACAGAGGTAGATCATAGTCTGGAATAGCACATAGGATACTTTTTATTCCGAAAAAATTACGATTCCCGTGGGATCGATTTGTTTGTTTCTCACAGAGCAAGGGATCAGGCCTGATTTTTTGCAGTGGTAGTGAACCATGAAAATTTGAGGGGGGAAACGGGGGTTGAAAGTTTGCATGGAAGTATCGATTTTTTTATAGGTAATAAGGACTTGAAAATTGGAATTTTAGCTACTCATCACAAATAAATAATGGTGTGTTTCAGGTTTCTGGATTTTGATGTTTTAAGAGGGGAAAGAGGAAAAATGGGGATAAGAGGGGAAATGAGGGAAAAAAGGGAATTGTGCGAAATTAAGGAAATGGGAGAAAGGTGTGGGGAGTGAAAGATTGTATGGTAGGAACTTGAAAATTGCAAGTATTCATCATAAATCAATAGACACGTTTCAAGATATTTGGATTTTTACATATTAAGGGGGGAAACCAAAGGAGAAAATTAATAAAAAAATAGTAAAAATTAACAAAAATTAATAAAAATTCATAAAAACTAATAAAAATTAAATTAATAAAAATTTTTGGCAGGTATGGCATGAAAAAATTTCTCTGGGGTAAAGAAAACTGTTATTCACTTTTAATAATTGAAGGGGTTTAATATAAAAACATGATAAGCCACACTTTTTAAAATAAAGGCATTTTTACTTTATGGTAATTAAAAATAAGGTTACAAAATCCACAAACCAAATGTAAATTATCAAAAAATACCATCATTAGCTAATAAATTAAGTTACTGCATTTTAATAAAGTACTAGTTTATTTTAACCTTTAATGTTGTGGCTTGTCATATTATTCCAATAAGCCCTTCAATTGAGGTTTGCGAAATTCAAGTGAAGCGTAATCGGGTCAGCTAGTGATTTTATAAATAATAATTACATATTTGGTCAATGTTGAGAAACAAGTTAAAATTTATCATGAATTTCCAATTACCTGTTGGCAGTTTCAATTCGTTGCCTCTTCTGCAACTCCATCATTACCCTTAATGTCTCTCTGGCTTGATGAGGTCTGAACTCATTGAGTAAATGGTGAATATGAATAAATAGAAGACTCAAATCTTCCACTTTCTCTGCTCTTCTGGGAGAATCCGGACAGTTTACTAATAAATCTAGCAAATCTAAAAAATTGGCTAGTAGAGATTGATTTAATTTTTTCAGTTCTCTTCTTCTATCAAAATGCAAAGGATAAAGCCTTTTAATACCCTAGAAATTGGATACACGATTTTAGCAGTGTGTTTGATATAGTTCACAAATGTATACCTGACTTTCCAGTGGTCTAATAATACTTTCTTCGGTGTTAAAAGCGTTTCCAAACATATGATAAGTATCTTGAATAGGGGGAGGAGGTTTTGGGGCTCTTCCCCGTCTGAGAGCATCATCTGTGTATTGGGTTACATACTGCATAGGCGGTAGAGGTAATGAACTAACTTGAATAGTATCCGAATTGGCCATTTTTATTTATATTATACTATAATATTAATAATTTGCTTAGTAAATAATTTTTTGTATATAAACGTAAACATTCGTTTTAATTTTTATACTGTCTTGTGTCATTACATCAACGTCAAATTTACATATTGACGTTTAACACTTGACAGTTTTAGGTACGTTCTGTATTTCAGATATAACCGGACGAGCTCCATTTGAATATCAAGGAATTGACACTATTTGGAGTTATGCAAAGGTAATTTTTCAATAAAAAATAAATGGATCTTTTATTTTTGTTTCGATTGATCCGTAATTGAATTACAACATTGCATAATTAATAATCTCCAACAATACCCCTATCCCACGTGATCTGGTAAAACATGAACTTCAATAAAAATAGTTGTTCCTAAGTGATTTTTATTACAATTTAAGTTTAGTTCAGCCGTGGTTCTGTCAAATAGGTCAGTGAAATTGTTTTTAGTGTTATTAAAGACCAGGGGTGGGAAACTGGTATGCGCAGGCCTGGGATCAATCAACCACGTCCGCGTGGCGCTGCAGTCGGGTGGTGGGGTAGGTGGTGGGAGTGTAAATGACAGGTGAATATTGATTTTTGTGGGGGTGTCATGGCGTCTTGGCTTGCTTAAACCAAACGCACGGACCAAACGTAAACTTTGTTTATTTATATTGGTGACTGTTGTATTCAGTTGTTTTCATTTCCAATTTGCTTAATTGATTTAGTTGACCACTGTTAATAAGCTTGTTTTTCCATTATAAATTTGTGCTTTTTCCGCTGTTATTTTGTGGTTTTTCATAAAGATGCGTAATTATAGAAAATGTGTACCGAATTGCCTTGTTGTGGACAACAAGATGCATCGCCTGCCTCACCCTACGAATTCACCCGATTTATTTGATATTTGTGCACTTGCTGTTCGTTGTCCAAGATTTAATAATAAAACAAGACTACAAATTTATTCCAGCTTTGTAGTATGTCATAAACATTTTGAAGAGAAGTATAAAGTAGTTGGCTCTCGTCGAGGTCTAACACCTGAAGCATTTCCAACGCTATTCCTACCCGCAGTTCCTGGAAGAGTAGCGGATGGACTTTCCTCAAATAACATAGAAATTGAATATGTTGATCAAACACCTTCTACTTCAAGTAAAGGTTCGAAGAAGAAGCAGACTAATAATATATGTTGGACTTCTTTTCGAGAAGGAAAGTTAGTAATCTACTCATTTATTTTATACTTATACTGTGTATTTTCTGTTTCATGACATTCGGGGTTGCAAAGCTGTATCGTAGAAGAAGAAGCAGACTAATAATATATGTTGGACTTCTTTTCGAGAAGGAAAGTTAGTACTTATTTATTTTATACTTATTGCTGTGTTTGAGAATCCACATCAGATGCATTTTTTACATCTCGAGCGTTTTTTTATCCACATACCTATATATAAAACGTTTATTTAGTCAAAAAAACTATTTTTTACATGTCAATACATCTTCACGTTTAAAATATAAAAAATACATAAATATAGAATCAACATACATTTAAAATGCAATAAAAAATACATAAGATACAGTACACTTACATGTCAACTATACAAAACAATAAAAGAACAAGAAAGAGAAAAAAAACGTCAATAGGTGAACAGGTATTCATGCAGTTTTATTTTAAATATTGCCACATTTGAAGAACATTTAATATCCTCAGGCAAATTATTAAAAGCCTGTACACCTTTAAAAAACACTGAATTTTGTGTACATTTTTCTTGTTACCTGTTTAGGTTCATGAACATCCTGATTATAACTTAAAATATTTTGTAAATATACTCTGGAGATTCCTGATTTAATTTTAAATATAAAAAGCAGGGAATAGAATAGCAAATATTTTTTAACAGTCAACCACTGAAGCACATTCAACATGGAATTGATTGGTTCCAATCTCGAACAGCTCAGTATTATCCTCAGGCCTCTATTCTGCAACTTTTGCAATCATTGCAACTCATTCTGGTTGAGCAAATACAGTATAGTGGCACAATAATTAAAATAAGGTAATATTAAGAGTATTATAAATTATTATTTTAGTCCATTTGCCGAGATGTGGAGAACAGCGCCTCAAATAGTTTATTTTAAATCGGACACATCTGTCCCATTACATTTACGTAAATTGAATCACGTGATCAAAGATTTACTACATCTCAGTTGCATCCGATGTGGATTCTTAAACGCTGCATATACTGTGAAATTTGTGTTTCATGACGTTTGGGGTTGCAAAGCTGTATCGTAGATGTTGGACTTATTAAAAAATAAAGTATTCCTCGGACTTATAATTTTTTATTAATACATTTATTTTAATGAGATTGTACTTATACTGTCTTTCTTTTTTCACAGCTAAAGTTCTTCACAAAATGATGGACAGTGTTGTATCCTGGAATATGTAGCAGCCATCCAGCTACTTCATACATAATACAATTTTCATATACATTACATTTTTTAAATATTGGATTTGTATTATATATATTCTTTAATAAATTTATTTTTTGAATATTCTTGTTTTTTTTATCTAAAAACTGTTAGCCAAATTAAGATTTGTTCACACAAACTGCATTTTTGCTTTATTATAGCGATATTCGCTATAATAAAGCAAAAATGCAATTTGTGTGAACAAATCTTAATTTGGCTAACAGTTTTTAATGCGGACAATTTTTACTGTCAAATTTGAATAGCCCCGCGCTTTTCTTCTCTTCTTCTTTTTATTATTTTCTCTTCTTTCATATGGCCTCTTACCAGACAAGGACTTAATTGAAAAAAAATCAACCACGTCCACCAGGTGCCGCTAAAAACTCTATCATCCTTTTTTAACATGGGAGTTACCGTTCTAAGAGTAAGTGTTCTGTGATTAAAGACTAGAGAGAAGAAGGCGAATTGGCCATGATCAAATTTCAAATTTTCGTTATTTTTATAAAGTTCGCCATGGAGCAAGGATAATAAGTTCGCCAAATTATAAATATTGTACAGGACAGTAATATGGCAAGTTTGTATAAAATGTGTAAAAGTGGCTCCATGACAAAACAGCGCAGAACAAAATAGCGCAGACAAAATAGCGCAAGTATAAAATATCGCAAGGACAAAATAGTGCAAGACAAAATAGCGCAGGACAAAATAGCACAGGCCATTAAAGCGCGTGTCGAAATATTCCAGTATTCTAATTGAAATTAAAAAAAAAACTTAAACTCGTTTACCTAACCTGGGCGGCCTGAAACCATCGCATGTTGCTTTGAATTTAAAATTGCCATAAAATTAGAAAAAATCGTAACTAATTTACCTAACCTGGGCGGCCTGAGGCGTTTTTTAAAATTTGTCACGCGTTAATTTGTTTCACTCTTTTCCAAAAAAAGCGGTAACTTAACTCATTATAATTAGACTAGGCGTTAATTGGTCTCACTTTATTTATATCAGGCGCTAAGTTGTCTCTCATGTATTTGTCTCGGCCCAAATGTGTCCTAGCAAATTTGTCCCTCGCGAAATTGTTTCACGCTAAAATGGGTCAGATCCTAAAAATGTGAGAGAAACAGAGAGCTATACTTCTCTATACAGGGTGTACCAATAAAAACTCCCAGGCCGGATATTTTGGTAAGTAATAGAGATATTTTAATTGTGTGAAAGCCAGTTCATAGAGCGCTAAGAGAGCTTTAGTTTTAGATATAAATTAATTTTAAATAGGTCAATAGTTAGATGGCGCTGCGCTCAATATATTTTTTTCGATGGGGGGATCTTTCTTATATAACGCATCTTGTAAAAAATGCATTTTTAAGCAGATTTTGTTCTATAAAGTAATTCGATAAATCTAGCCATTTTTGATATACAGAGTGGGTCACTCAAAATAGTTTCATCCTGTTTTTCGGCATTAATCATTGGATTTTTAGAAAATGCTAAAACAAGTCGATTTTTATTTCCAATTGAACACATTTTTACAACACAGACATCTGTCATGTGTCAACCCCCTCCCTTCTACTTCTCCAACCCCTTAATTTTAAATAAGGAGTGTATCATGTACGGCACATCATTGTAAAGGTAATTTTATGGGGAAGACAGAAATATGACTGTTTATTGCGATGTTTTTAATTTTAGCGCCCTCTATCGGGATTAAACACCTGTAATGTATTATAATGTGTGACACTTCATTTGAAATTTAATTTAATTATTAATTCAATGCACCACATAACATTAATATAAATATTTCCATATTGCACTTGCAACAAAATAAAGTTAACAATATTTTTTAAAATAATGCATGAATAATTTTTAAGCTATTGCAAGTGAAAAATTGAGGATATTTATATTAATGTTATGTGGTACATTGAATCAGTAATTAAGTTTGCTTTCAAAGTAGGTGTCACACTTTATAATACGTACAGTTTTTTATTCCGATAGAGGGCGGTACAATTAAAAGTATCGTTATGAACAGTCATATTTCTAAATTCCCTATAAAATTACCTTTTTAATGATATACTACACATTGTAGTGTCACTCTATAATACGTAGTAGTTTTTTGTCCCGCTAGAGGGCAATAAAATTTAAGTAACGCAATATACAGAATTATTTCTAAATTTTCTATTAAATTACCTTTTCAATGATGTGCCATACATGGTACATTACCTATTTAAAATTAAGGTGTTGGAGAAGTGCAAGGGAGGGGGTTGACACATGACAGATGCCTGTATTGTAAAAATGTCTTTAATTTGGAATAAAAATCGACCTCTTTTAGCATTTTCTTAAAATCCAATGATTAATGCTGAAAAACAGGATGAAACTGTTTTGAGTGACCCACTCTGTATATCAAAAATGGCTAGATTTATCGAATTAGTTTATAGAACAAAATCTGCTTAAAAATGCATTTTTTACAAGATGCGTTATATAAGAAATATCCTCCCATCGAAAAAAAATATATTGAGCGCAGCGCCATCTACATATTGACCTATTTAAAATTAATTTATATCTAAAACTGAAGCTCTCTTAGCGCTCTATGAACTGGCTTTTACAAAATTAAAATATCTCTATTACTTACCAAAATATCCGGCCTGGGAGTTTTTATTGGTACACCTTGTATAGGCATCGTTGGAATAGTATTTGTTACGTATTATTTCAATGAATTTTATTAATTTAAAAACATCTCGTTCGTTACGCGCTTTTTTGCCCTTGCGTCATTTTGCCCTGCGCTATTTTCTCCTGCGCTATTTTGTCCTGCGCTATTTTGTCCTTGCGCTATTTTTTTTTTGATGAATTTTGGCCTGCGCTATTTTGTCTTGCGCTATTTTGTCTGCGCTATTTTATCCTGCGTCATTTTGTCCTGCGCTGTTTTGTCATGGATCCGCAAAAGTATGGTGTTAAAAATACAAAAAATATCATCCATTAAATTCTGAGCTAATCTATAATGGAATAATAATCCTTTTTCATGCGAAATGATAATAGATTTCCAAAAAATTCTGAAAATTGAAAAGCGTGGTTACAATTTGATACAGGCATAACCGGGAACAATACCAATTCAGCCTCATATGTTCCAAGAATTTTCTTTATCACCTTTGCCCGATTGAGAGACTTTCATTTGAATAGTGTTGAAAAAAGTACATTAATATTTAGTCTGTATAAAAAAAATGACGGCATAAAGATGATAGCTCAGCTCATAGAGTTCAACTTTATCAAGTTTGTGTGTCGTGGTGCGGGTTCAATTCCCGATAGAAGCCATCTTATTTTAATTTATTTTGGAAAAATATGAAAAGTGAGATAATACGACTACTGTTTATTTATTTTAAATACATTTTATTTATTATAATATTACCGCAACGGTTAATATTTCCGTTATTTATTTTGTACTAAATTCAACATTTCATTGTATCCTAATATTTTTTTGTATCTAATTTTATTTTACATTTGTCATCCTATGAAAGTGTTATTAAATGGAATCACAATATTTTTAATTTCAATAAAACTCTATCAGTAGATTATTCAATATTATTATTCAATAAATCATATAAAAAAAGTCTAAAACCAGACACACCTTGATTGAACCTTTATAGCCTGATTTTCTGGTCTTACATTGTTGTGATGAAATTATTTTGTGGTCATACGAAAAATATTGTACATCACTTGTGTTGAAGTGATTTTCCACATTCGTGATATTGTCATACTCGGCTTATGGCTTGTGTGGCAATATGTCCCACTCGTGTGAAATATTTCCACACATGTAGTTATACTGTAGTTGTGCATTTAAAATAAGTTAGTTGGTACTTTATTTTTAGAAGTCGAAATTACGAAAATGAGACATTCAATTATTACGTAAGCAAACCTGTATAAGCGAAGATAATAAAATCGTTACCTTTACCTTTTCCGAAAAGATCAGACAAGACTTTTTTCAAAACTTTTATTAGGTACCAAAATTAAAATTTATTTATTTAATATTTTATATCTATAATTATTAAACTATTTATTGTATTATATTCAAAAATAAAAAATTTAATTGTATTATATTTAAAAAGATTTAATTGAATTATATTTAAAAAATTTAATTGAAAACAATATTTGTACTACATTATAGATAAATAAACATTATTATTATTATTTTGTATTTTTTTTATCTTAAGTAAATTTTGTAATATCCTCCCGCTCACTTTATCAGTAAAAACTAGAAAAATTGAACCTCCTTCGCCTCCTACGCCAGCTTAAGTAATACTTGAACACCCCCAAAACGGCTAAATAAAAATAATCAAACTATTCCTATTACTAGTTCCAATTTTGATTGTACAATGTAGTCCTACTATGATTGAACTACCTAATATATATAATACATTTTTTAGGCTTTTACTTTCGTGTCTCTTGTTTTCTTTTTTTGTTTCTAACTTTAATCACTTGTTTGTATTTATACCAGGTGTATCTAAATAACACCGAAAATTGTAAGGTGTGATTCTGTGATGAAAATTAAGGTGGGTATATAGTATAAAGATTTTTCAGAAACACCCTCCCCGAAAAAGTTACGCCCCTCCGAAGATTTAAAAAAAATGGTTTTTCTTTTTTATTTTTCCGGTATATTAAGCTAGAGACACGAAAATTTGTAAATATTATTTGTCAATAAAACTACACTTTTTCAAATTTTTTCAATCTTGAAGTATGCTTAGAAGGAGTTGAAAGAGCCAACCCCTAAGATATTTTTTCTTACAACTATTTTTAGATAGATTATTTTTTAAAAAGTAAATAATTAGGCTTTTCAGCCATACTTTTTTATTTGAAAAATTTTTTTCTCAAAAAAGTTGTAAGAAAAAATAACTTAGGGACTGACTATTTCAACCCCTTCTAAGCATACTTCAGGGTTGAAAAAAATTCAGAAAGTGTAGTTTTATTAACAAATAATATTTACTTCGGAGGAGTGTAACTTTTCTAACGAGGCTTTTTTCAAAAAATTTTTTACCAAATACCTTAATTTTCATCACAGAAGCAAATTTTTTCGGTGTTATTTAGGTACACCCTGTATAAACGTATATTTAACTAGTTTTACATTTTATTAATATAGAAAAAATAAAACACAATATTCATAGTTAGTTTATTTATTACAAAAATTTCGTTCACTTTAGTATAAAAATATATACACAGGTATATCAAATATCGATGATATTATTTATTTAATTTACAAATAAAATTACAAAATTATGGCAAGAAAATTACAATATCTCCTTGATACAAGGCTTACAATTCGTTTAAAAAGTCTTTTACATTTCTAAAATTGCACCCACACATAATATTATTCACACATATTCTTCAGATGGTTTCGGAGCGTTCGTTAACCGCAATGAAGCCGGTATCCTCCCATTTACAGAATCCGGTAACTCCGCAATATCTTTAAACACTCCCGCTAAACTCTCAAAGTTCGGCCCCCAATTTAACAAATAGTCCCAACCTAACGCGGTCGTCGGAGGCGACCCGGTACCCGACCTATACATAGGGCCCCCAATCTCGTCGTCTGAAGCCACTAGAGTACTCATTGACCCTCTATACGAAGAGTCAAACCCATCGTAAGAGGGTGGAGGTATATTGCTTTTGTTCCCCGGGCCCGAATCATTTCGTCTAGACTCGGACTCGCTCGGTTTGTACTTGTCTCCAGTTAAACTAGTGTTGTCGTATTCTATCTCCGAACACGTAAAACTATCGTTACCACTTTCGTCGGTGGTGGTGCTGCTGTGGTGCGTTTCTGGCACTGGTGAATGGCGTAAGTGGTTCATGTGGTTATTCCCGCCCCCTCGAGGTGCTTCGCTGGAACTCGACACCGCGTCGAGAGTGGATACTAAACTAGAGGTGCGAGGACGGGAATTCAGTCTTTCTATTTCTTCAGCAGTGAGGCCCATACCCGGCGAGGATGAGGTAACGGGTGGCGGGGCTGCTGCTTTCCTACTACTAGAACTTTGGCCGCTCAATTGCGACATCACTGGACTGTTCAAACTGCGTTCACTATTACTATGAAGAACGTCTTTACCGACACCTCCAGAACTGGAGGTGGTTGCTAATAAGGCACTTTGTAACGGCTTCCCACTGATATCGTGTAAAGTTAATATCCTGGGCTGTTGAGCACTCATTTCACTACTAGGACTTAATCTAGCTAGAGGCGTGCTTTGATGAGGTCGTGCGCTGGGACTAGTAACTGGGGGTGCCCTAGGAGGAAATCCTGAAGGATGATGAGGAGAATGTCTGTGCTGACCCTGAGCTTGTCCTCCTGGATGCTTATGGTGATAACCAGCAACAGGCGGCGGCGTGGCTTTGTACTTCCTTACTCCACCAGCTTCTCGGTATCCTTTATAATGGTACACTATATCTATATCTGATGGTGCTATGGAACTAGCATTTTCTAAATCATAATGTTCGGGAATTTCAGAATTTAAGTCATTAGGAACATGATCATGGTTGTGGTTCGAATTTGGAGGCATAGGAGGATGATGTTCATCTCTCATTGGTGGACCTTTATTCATTACTTCTCGCTCAATAATATCCGGTCTTTGTGGCCGTGGTAAATCGCCTTGTAGAATATCTCTCTCCTTGTATTTCTTCGACAGTAATTCTGGTCCAACCAACGAATGTCCGCCTATACCTCTTATTACGTCTCCGTCTGTGTGATAAGACATTGAGTTATCGGCACCGTGCATCACTCGACTTAAGACATTATCATTAGCTGCATTCATACCATTGGATCCCAACATCGAACCATTTCCATTCTGTTTAGTTTGTAATCCTGTTGGACTGTTGGAAGCACTACCCTTTTCTTTGTATTGTTTTCTTAGTCTGAAGGCTACGAACGAAACTAATATGGCAACTAGTAAAACGACAAAGAAAACAATGACTAAGGTAATTCCAATGCTCAGAGGATCAGGTGCAGTAGCTGTTCCAACGCCAATAGGACCCTTACAGTCTTTTACAACTCGTCCTCGATAGTGAACTTCGGAAAATATGGATCCGGAGCCATTGAACGGTTGTATTTCATTGTTGATCGTGAAATTTGCGAAGCAGCCTTCAAACGATTCCGGTGATTTATCATGGACGTAGTAATAGTCAGCTGCAGCTCCTCCAACGGAAAGATATGTGAGGTAAGGATCCAGAAAATCGTGGACACCGGCCGTATCAAGTTCATCTCCAAACTTTTCGTTATCCAAAATGATTCTTATGCTTCGACCGTAGGTGTAAAGAGTAAGATTATGCCACACGCCGTCACTTACAATATGCTTGTCCGTCATATTGACAATAGAGGACAGTTTGCTAACGTAGTAGATTTGGTCGTTGATTAATTCTATGGAAGTGTAGTATTTATTGCTCGTGGCGTATAAAATTATTCCGTTTTGCTGTACAGTTCGGAATAAAATACTAATGCTCTTTCCTACAGATCCAGAATTAATATCCAAGTTGACCGGTGATCTGGTTCTCCTTTGATGGTTCCAGAGGGTAGATCCTTTGTAGATGTTATCCAACAGTTGCATTCTTCTGTGCTTCTTCGAAATGGCGAACTCGACGTAACCTCCATCACTGACGCTGATTGGCTGCAAAGCTGAATGGCAATTCGGTGAGATCAAATCTGAGCCACAACGGCAACTAATGGAGTTCCAATGGTCAATGCAAGTACCAAAACCTAGACATGGATCGTTGGATGGTTTTTGACATGAACCTCGTTGAATGCATTTATTTTCGATGCCTTCAAATGATAATGGTTGGCTTAAATTCAGTTGACGACCGTTGATGGAGACGCTATGGACGCAGCCTACGAGATCATCTGAATGGACTTGGCCTGGTCGTTCTAGAACTGGATCCGCACTGATGATGCCTCCGACGAGAAGAGGTTGGTTGTTAAAGTTTAATGTCCTGAAACAAAATAAAGGTTAGAATATAAAAAAAATCAAAAGCTGGTGTACGCAGCTTTGAGCCTTTTAGGCAAAAATTAATAATGAATCAGTGGTTAAAGTGTCTAGTTTCATTTACATATAAAAAATGCTTTCAACTTACCCACTGGGACCAATTTCATCGGCGTAACAAGTGTTATCTCCTGGCCTGCAGTCTTCGCAAACATCACCCTGTTCGGTGCAGCTTCCAACGCTTAAAGAAACCACTCTTCCATTTCTTGTAGCGGTTATTTTGTACCAATTTCCATCTGCCAAATTATCGGTTTTGCCTCCGACGCTTACTGAGGTGATTGCTGTTCTTGTACCACCGAAAGAGAAAACTGCTTTGCCGTGGACCAGTTCTACAGCGACGAAATCACTTCTTCCTCCTGACTGCAATCCATAGTTGTATACTAGCAAAGAATCGGGTTTGGTGGTAGCAAAAATAAACGAAATATCGTTGGTGGCAGCATCCAAAGACGGAAAACTCATGTAAGACAGTTCTTGGAATCCATAAGTTGATTTCTCGCAATGTCGTCCGTATCTTCCATCGACGCAACTGCATTTGTATCCTGGCTTCAGACTTACACAAAGACCATCGTGTAGACAAGGATTGGGACGACATGAATCAGCGAGGACTTCACACTGATTTCCTTTGTAGCCGGATCTGCAAAGGCAGAAGAACGACGATCCGTCTGGACTTTCCCTACATGATCCACCATTTTGACAAGGATTGTCGAAGCATGCGTCATCTTTTTGAGTTTCACATTGGCGGCCATCTTTACCAGGAGGACAAATGCAATGGAAGTTGAAGCCTTGCCTTCGACATTGTCCACCATATTTGCAAGGGTTCGGCATGCAAGGGTCTTGTCTTTTGTTGCAAGTGGAGCCTACAAATCCATCAGCACACTGGCATTTATATTCGTGTGCTACTAGAGGCGATGTTAGAATTATATTTTGGCTATCAGTTATAATTGTGGTCTTTTTAACTGATAAAGATTCCAGGCAGATTCCCCCGTTTTCGCAGGTGTTTTCACCGCAGGGCGTGTAACCTATTATGATATCTCTGGTCTGGAAAATATTCGATATGGCTTCTCGTTTGCTTTGGACTTTTTCGGTAGTTTGAAATTTGGTTTTGTATCCTTTATCATTCTTGAGAGCCAAGGTTATCTCAAGATGACCTTCATGTTCGTGCAAACTGTAGACTAAAAGACTTTCGTCGGAATTCAAAATAGCTTTGAGAGTATCCAGGACTTTTCTGTAAAACTGGTTAAGAAATGTTTCAGCAGTGATGTTTGATATTCTTACGGTGATAGAATTTTCAACTGTCAAGTTATTGAAGGAAAGAAATTCAACTGTTACTGTTGAAACTACATCTGAGTGTTTCCCATCGTTTCCGGATACAGAAAGTGAAAAGCCTTGACCAGGAGTTATTCTAGAAGTATGCAGGTTACAACCAGAAGGAATTGATAATACTCCTGGCAGAGAGGGTTGTAAAATCTTGCATTTATAGTCGCCAATTACATCTGGATCGTTGGGGTGTACATCTGCGATTTTACCTAATGGATACGAATTATTGTATACGTAAACCAAAACGTGTACAGACCTGGAACTAGATGGACTGTCATTTTCATCTTGGACTAGTATTTTGACATTATGTTGAGATTTCATTTTTGGAGTACCGCTATCTTCAATTTCTACCATAATAATCAATTCTGGTGTTATTTCCCTGTCAATTACTTTCGTTGTTACAACTGTTCCAGAATGTTTGTCTACTCTTACATAGTCCCTATGTTTTCCTCCAATAAGTTTATACGTAAACGGAGCACCGTTTGGAGGAAGATCTGGATCTTTGGCAGAGAGTACCATTACTTTAGTATTGGGAGGTTTATTCTCTGGTACGTAACCCACAGGAGCAGAGTCGAAAATAGGTCCATTATCGTTGATATCAGTGACTTGTATTTTAACTAAAGTCGTACCGGTTTGTGGTGGAATACCAGTATCTATTGCGCCAACGACTATTGAATACATTGGAATTGTTTCTCTGTCCAATGATCTGGCAGATTGTATTTCTCCTGTTTGAGGATCTATTTTGAAAGCTTGTTCAATGTTTCCACCAATAATGGAATAACTAAATTGGTTATTTTGAGCCCGTACGTCCTTATCAACTGCTTTCACCGATATTAATTTGGTTCCAATCTCAGCACCTTCTGATATTTCCGATTCATAAATATTCTGTAAAAATTCTGGAGGGTCATTACCATCTTGAACGGTTATTATCACCTGGGCTTCGTCAGTGTCGTTACCACGGATACCACCAGCATTTTTAGCCATTACAGTAAGCACGATTCTGCTTTGGGTTTCTCTATCGAGATTTCTTGAAACTAGGATGGTACCAGTTTCCGCGTTGATACTGAAACCTTTATCATTGCTCGAACCTATCAGGAGGTAGTAAACTTTTCCGTCGTCACCACTGTCTTGATCACTTGCTTGGATTGTTCCTACTCTTGTACCGACTTCAGTAGATTCAGAGACATCAAAATGAAAGACTGGTTGAATAAATCTTGGATAAAACTCATTAACACCAGTAATATGGACTTTTACTACCGTGGAACCAAACATAGACGAGTCCGGATTGGACGCTACTACGTTAAGAGTATAAAGGTCTTCCTCTTCATAATCGAAAGTTATTTTGGATATAATTGCACCACTTGCTTTGTTAATTTCGAAAATTTCTTTATCTGGACCATCAGATATTGAATATTCAATAATGGCGTTCTTTGGTGAGTCAATATCAGTAGCAGAAACTGTGTAAACGAAACTGCCAGATGGTAGGTTTTCTGATAAATATGCATCATAAGATGATTGGTTGAAAGTAGGAGAATTATCGTTGATGTCAGTCAGCGTTATTGTTAACATGGCTGTCGTTCTACGAGGTTTAAATCCAAGATCTTCTGCTGTTATATTCAAATGATATTCTTGGATGGTATCGTAATCTAGAGGTTGTAAAATAGTAACAGCGCCTGTCATAGTATCGACGGTAAATTCTTTTCTTTCATTTCCAGCTGATATTCTGTAACGTATCATACCATTCGGACCTTGATCTCTGTCAGAGGCGCTGACTGTTAGAATTGTGGAACCCAAAGGTTCGTTTTCAGGAACAATAACTTGGTAACTCAACGCTGTAAATACTGGACTATACCTGTTCTCTCCAGTGATGATGAGAGTGACGGCAGTTTCGCTCTGTTGTGGAGGTATACCTTTATCGGTCGCTCTGATTCTTAGATTATAAACAGTTCCAACTCCAAATACTTTTTCATTAAGTTTGATCCATCCAGTGTTATCGTCGATGACGAAGTGTTTAGAACCATTGCCGCCTGTAATTGAATATTCTATTTCTGCGTTAACACCAACATCTAAGTCATCTTTGGCTACTACCCTTAGAACTTCCTGACTTTCTTTAGCATCTTCTGGTACGGGTGTTAAGTATTCTTGTTGTTCAAAGCTAGGCGCATTATTATTGGCATCTACTACATTGATTGTTACTAAACATTCTGAAGACATGGGTGGTTTGCCATTATCTGTAGCTAGAATAGTTAAAGCGTAAGTATTTTCAGGCGAAGATTCCATCAGGGTATATTTGTATCTCAGGCTTCTTTTGCTAAATATTTCACCCGAAGCTGGATCAACAGTAAACAAGTCAGAAGGTTGTTGCAACGAGTAACTTATTACTGAGTTTGGACCTTGTTTGTCTCTATCAGTAGCAGCGACTTGACCAACAAATACTATAGCTCTTTGAAGTTCTGGGAAGTTAAAGCTATAGTAAGAATGTTCAAATTCAGGAGAGTTGTCGTTCTGATCTTGTATGGTAATAGTCAAAGGCGTCTCAGATCTCCAAGCACCATCTACAGCAGCGACTTTTAGAATGTATTCATCTTGGTGTTCGCGATCTAAATGACCGACGACTGTTACGTTACCGCTGATTGGATCAATTTTGAATTTATCACCAGGATTCTCGGTAAAATTGTAAGTAGCGTTAGCATTTTCTCCAATATCTTGATCCGAACTAGTAACTCGAATTACGAATGATCCAATTTCTGCATTTTCTGTAACGTTAACGCTAAATAATCTTGTGAATCTGGGCGGATTATCGTTTTTATCTAAAACTGTTACTAGGATTGTTGCTGTACCAGATAGTTGAGGTAAGCCTTGATCTACTGCTTCCACCACTAATTCGTAGCTGGCTATGTCTTCTCGGTCAAGACGGGTATTTGTATAAATTTCTCCACTTTCTGCGTCAATTTCAAAAGCACCTTCGAAATCGTCAAGAAGTTTGTATGTTATTTGCCCATTTTCCCCAGAATCTGCGTCTGTAGCTGAAACTTTTACAACCAGAATAGGTGGTGCTTCTTCCTCCATAACAGAGGCATTGTACAGTAAACTATTCATTATTGGAGGATTATCGTTCGCATCTGTGACATTGATAGAAAGTTGAAGGACGCTTCTTAGAGAAGGACTGTCAGAATCTTGGGCTTCAACCCAAACTTCGTAAATTGGAGAGACTTCGTAATCTAGACCATGGCCGGCTATTTGAATTTCACCGCTGTTTCTGTCTATTTTTAAGGCTTCTCCAATATTACCTCCTGCAATAGCGTATCTTATTTCAGAAGCAGGTCCTTTCTTGGGCGATGTAGCTTTCACTCTGGCAATGACTTTCCCTTCTTCTACATTTTCAGCCAAAACAAACTTGGTTTTTGTTGGAGTGGCGAATTTGGGAAAGAAGTGTCCTGGTTTGAGAAATACTCGTAGTTCGGTGCTGGTTTTTCTAGCAGGTTTACCTCCATCAACAGCTTCTATTTCTAGGTTGAAAATGCTGGTCGAAGATCTTTGTAAATCGTATACTGCTTTGATGACCCCTGTTTTATGGTTAATGGTGAAATTCCTAGCATGTTCTCCAGTTAATTGGTAAACGATTCTCGAATTGATTCCGTAGTCTTCGTCTGTGGCTCGCGCTCCAAAAACGAATTGTCCGGCTTTGGTTTGATCGGAGATGTAAACTTCGTATTTGCTGGAGTCGAAAGTTGGTGAGTTGTCGTTTTCGTCTGCAACATTTATGGTCAGATTCACAGCAGCCGCTCTGGGTTCAGTTGCAGAACAGTCTTGAGCCATTAGAGTCAAAGAATACGAGCTGATTTCTTCTCTGTCCAAAGTAACGACTGTAGTTATGACTCCGGTGTTCTGGTCTACTTTAAATCTTTCTACTTTGTCCCCAATGAGGCTGTAACGTATTTTTCCGTTTAAACCAATGTCCTTGTCAGTAGCTATGGGGGTTAGGACCCAAGTTACGGGCGGTAAGTTTTCTTTGATTATGGCGTGGTATGACTGCCGTTTGAATTCTGGACTGTGGTCATTGACATCTTGGACTACTACCCGAACTGTGCCGGTTCCTGTTAATGGTGGTGATCCTGAAAAAAAAAATATATTTAAGATATTTCAGTAAAACTCATATCAGTACAATTAAAAACAAATTATGAATATATGATTAAAAAAGTAATAAGAGCGTTTGATTGAAAGAATCTTATTATGCTTGTTAGATTTTGAAATTGTTCTCAACCACATTCAGCTGTTACGTAATCAGCCAACGACGGTCGTGTACCTAATATAGAACAATAAAACATTGTAGCCTACCGATAAATAAGTGTGATAGGAATCAGCTAGCGGGATTGCAATAAAAAAAAACTCGAAAAAGAGTAAGAGAGCACTTGAACCGACGGGGTCAAATCTATAATAACTTGAAGCAAATATAACAAAACGCAAGCAGCACGATCTGTCTTGTCTCTGTTAGGCGAACGTTGTTCTTTCGTAGATATGGCTGATTGAGGATTTCGATTTAGGCAGATATCTAGAGTCGAGCTGCGCTCGGGGCTTCCTAGTAAAACGCGCCCCCTTAGCCCGCGTACCCGCGCCTCTAATGCCGACAAATTGGAATGCTGTTTATCGAGAAATCTCCTTCGGAATGGACTGATAAGGTACTGTACGTAATGCTTCATATTCGACGAGCTTTTAAATCTCGATTAAGTATTCTGTGATTTCTGTTGCAATTTACGTTCATTTGTCTTTTTTTAGTACGGTTAAAATACAACGATAACTATTTAGAGTTCACAAACATGATCTTTTTGTACTCTTATGGGTATATTGTGTACCAACGTAGCCGTGAAAGTGAATGTTTCCTGTAAATATGAACTTCATTCCGCTTATTACGAATTTGTTTTCACGCAGGTGTTCGAATTCACGACTTAGGTGGCACAAACGTTTCAAAAATAAATTTGCACTGCAATCTAAAACGCGCGGTACCTCTTAAAACATTTTTTATGGGCGATGCATTAACCGGCGCAGATTTCTTCCTCGCTCTCTTCTAAATGGAAATGCCTTTTAAAAACACAAGTTGATTGAATGCGCATTGTTTATTTTTATTGACCCGAATGAACCTTTAAAAGTTTCGCAAAATGTTATTTAACGGCGACGTCTTGCTTCATCAATTTAAATAATGGATTTTTAAAAAAGAGATTGCACGTTCATATTTTTCTGAATCGACGTTAGTTTATGTAATATGCAGTTGTGAACAAATATGACAAATTGGAAGTCACCAATACAATTCAACGGCAAAAATGTTTTGAAACATGACGTGCAAAGCAATCTACTAAATGGAAAACGTTGGACAAAAATACTCGAGAACCAAATAAAAGTTGTGAGCTAATAAAAGCTAAATTAGCAACAGTTAAGGGAAACAAAAACGAGTAGCCGGAGTGCAAATGCTTTTGCTTTAACTGTTGTTTTTTCCAGATTACACGTTTAACGTACTACGTTTACGTCAGATACGTATAGATACGTTTCTAGCTTTGCCTTAGAGAGTCAAGGCAATGCCAAAAACGTAAACGTATCTAATGACAGCTACGCATGCGCAACAGCTATTTTTTCCCACGTATCTATATTTACGTATGGTCTGACGTTGACGTCTTTGTTTCATTGGGAGCATCCGATCGCACCCAATTTAATAAAAGTAACGACAGATTTTAACTTATACTGTTCTGCTTTTCAAATTTTGAGTCATAATTTGAAAAAGTTCATTTGTAGTTCATGTAATATAGGTATAGATTCCTAGAAAAATATTTAATGACAATTTGCTAGAAAAGGGTGTGTTAAATAATAACGTTCATTGAAAAAAACGGATTAGTAAAAATTACCGGACATTGATTCTCGATTATTTTTTATAATCATATCTGGCATAATAAGAGCTCTAGCAAGCCTAATTATGTGGTTTTTTAAATGAAAAGAGACTTTTGGATTCAATTTCAAAAAGATTAATAAAATTTCCTATATAAAACATCCCCATTTCCCAAATTTTCTTCATCATGTAGAATTTGTAACACTACAGCATCATTTAAAGCTCATAAATTCAAAATTAAATCAATAACTATCAATACTTTTCTCAAAAAGTATCTAAGGTTATAAAGTTCACGTCAATGCTTTTGTTTTAACTATTAGTCATTCCAACGACCTGTCAAACAATTAGGCATTCCAAACAAATGAGATGCGGTGCTAAGGTTTGGTATGTCTAAAGGGTTGCGACATACGATGTAGTCTATTTACAATACGTGAAATTTAAATATTTTGTCGAACATAATGAAGATATTATTTAAAAAACCATTTTCTACAAATTGGCAAGCTTGGCGACTACTATTTCAAATAAAAATAGCGCCCAAAATGGAAGGCTATGTCGCGATGCTCTTAGATTTACGAGCCCTTCCCACTGACAGCTATTGTTTGACAGGTCATTGGAACGCCCAACAGCTGCCGATGAGAAGGGCTCGTATATCTATGGGAATTGCGACATAACCTTCCATCTTGGACGCTATTTTTATTCGAAATAGTAGTCGCCAACGCTGCCAATTTATAAAAATGTATTAGCAGTTTTTTTTTAAATAATATATTCACGATTTCACATATTGTAAACAGAATACCACGAATCGAAAACCTCTTAGATATACCAACCATTCCCACCTACAGCCATTTTGTCTGGAATGCCTAATTGTTTCCTTCCAGATTACACGTTCAACGCATAGTCAATAAACGTTTACGTCAGAAAGATACGCCCACGTTTCTAGCATTTGCTTTCATATGCCAAACAACAGGGAAATGAAAATTATAAGACTTTACTAGCATTTTATTCTCTAGTTACCGATATGCATGTTCCTTTGATAAAATTCCAAATATTTTATCTTTTCCCCTGTTACCGTGAGTCTGTTTCAACAATAAACCGCAAAAGGCAATTTCATATTTTAAACTCTGCGACGTGTGTGGTGTTAAAACTGCAATTGCATTAGTTTGTTTTCTAATGCTGGGCGTGGGTGTCGCCTTTGTCGCAATCAACATCGTAAATCAATCAGTCTTCATCTCAGATAATTTAAGGATCTTGTAATCGATCCGAAGATTACTTGAACACGGGCAAAACGACAGGAAGTGGACACGTTTTGCGGCGTGTATTATTTTGAGATTGAAGTTTTATTTGTAAATATAAGGAAAATAGGAAAGTCCCCCAATCTTTTTAAATGTCCTATAATTCACGTCCAAAAATAGTAGTTTGTGCAACAAGAGTTGTCAAAAATTCCTATAGGAAAATATTCATACGAGTCGAGAATCGACCCCTAGTTAGTGATGGGAGTATTCAGATATAAAAATCGGAATCTTTCCGATTCTTAAAATAATCGGATAATTCCGATTATTTATAAATATTCCGATTATCTCTTGAGATCTCGAATTTCATCGGTCTTTGGTGTTTTGTGTTCCGGTTTATGACGAATCGGATGATGATTTATGACAACGAATCGGATGATTTACAAGTTGTTTGGAGTGTGGATTCGAAATATATTCAAATCGGTGAAGTCGTAAAAATAGAAAACTATTATTTAGAATTTAGAAATTAAGGACATATATTTTTGTTCCTAAATCGGTAATGTTGTAGTTGACGGGTCTAGAAACGACTCGCGTATCGGGGACAACACTAATCATTTGCAATTGCTGTGGTGGGAGGTGTTTGTGTGAATGCGTCTTGTTTGTTTTCATTTACGCCGTGATTAGCAGTAATATTTTATAAATCTTAGAAGCAAATTTCACATACATGAACAAATAATAATAATAATGCCGTGACAAAAAGAAAACGAAGCAACGACTTCTCCAATCCATACCTGGCTACATCGACCGGACAAACAACTACGGCCTGGACACAGCTCACCTACTCTGTCAAAAAGAGACCGATATACAAATAAAACGCATACGACATGTCCACTACAAATGATTAGTGTTGTCCCCGATACGCGAGTTTTCCAGACCCTTCAACTACAACATTACCCCTAAATCTAATTATTATTTTAACAAAAAAAAAAACTGAATACCATGCATTCCGAATAAGAAGTTTTTTTTAAACGGATTAGAAAAATAACTAACAATAAAATAATATTAAAAAAACTGGTAGGTTATGATATGGCATCCCTGTAAGCCTGGTGATTTGACAGGGTCAATGAAATATATAGTTATATAGATTGATCATCCATGTTTTTTAAAATAGACATAAGCTTATGCCTCAAAGTAAAAATGTAGGTAATTATTTTTTTTACTAAATTCAAAGGCTGAAAATTGGTTTGTAAACACATTTTTGCTAAATTGATTCTGATAAAAGAGCACTTGCGAAGAATTATGGCCACTCGCAAACGACCCGTTTTGAGCAATCTATATAACTATGTATGTATCATTGACCCTGTCAATGACAACATGCCCACAGTGTTGTCATATCTAAACTATCAGTTTCCACTTGTCAGCATTTTGACAGGTCGTTGGAATGCCTAATTGTCAGCAGTGCAATAACTCTTAACAAAAGAGCGAAAATCATGGCGGGCTAGATAAGCGTTTCGAGCAAATAAAATGACACGATTCGATAATATATCGCTCGTAGTTAACAGGTTGCTAAGGCAACGAATAAGATGACGACCACTCTTCTCTCCGTGCTAATGAACCATCGAAGCCGAATTTATCTGAACGAGTTTACATTGATGTGTTTAATGCACACAATAAACCACGATGAAAAGATTTTCATCTCTTTCTCTCGCTCTCATCGATCAGTGCCGGACTTATCTGAGATTCGATTCTTAATTCTACAGGAAATTAATGATGTACCTACACACAGTTCAGATAGCTTGTACACCAGCGGTTTTTCACTCAAGTCAAAACATTTTGGTCAGGAGTACTCATATAGAGAGGCAGTCTAACTTTTCTAAATTTAGTTTTCCTAAACCTAAATAGTTCTTTAGTAGATTTCTTTTTAAATAATAAATTAATTTCATTTCAAGCGACAATAGAAGAATGTATTAGTTTACTACCCGGACAAGCTCAGCTTTTGGGGTTAAAATTC